AAGCTTGTCAATGTAAAACAAATTAGTTACAAAAATGGCTATTTGGTACTCGTCGCGACATCTGGTCTATCAATAGGTACTAAATACCCGACTACGATGTCTTGTAAAGCGATTAGCAGTCCTTTCGAAGTATTGGTCCATGGTAGAACTTAAACTTACCTGACAAGTAATCTTCTTGCCTGATAGTCTAAGCAATTACTACACGAGACCAATTCTCTAAACGCCCCCGAGCCAGGGAACCACGCCTCCAAATCCAACTTCTTAGAGGCAGCATGATTCAATGCCCCCGAGACAATGTTGACAATACGGTACGGGATACCGAGAATTTTGCAGAATTCTTCTGCGTTGTTAATCATTTCGTCCATCATCAACCACGACGCGTTGTCGTGTGGAGATGTTAGCACGAATTGTTCCACCTGGAAAATGGACAAAGAATTAGTTAGTTCTATGCAACAGACCTCTGCTTCTGCTTTCCGCAACCGCCGAAATTCCGAACGGTTTTTCACATCTATTTCCGTTTCTGCTACCGCAACATTTATGACGGAACGTTTATCGGAAGTTGACAACGCTTGCGATTTATCAGGCCCTGGGCCCTCGTTCTCCGTCCAATATAATTATTGTCAAATAAATAATACTCGACAAAATGATGCGAATTTTATACTTGACATTGGTGTTCTAATTTGGTCGGGTATTAATATATATATTAATATATATATATTATTTTAATTAACCTATTATGTTCCACTGCTGGGTTGTCTCTTCGGCCGAGAGTCGAGCAGTCAACAGCCCCTGGAGAGGCGATACACGTGTCGGGTATATTTTTGGTGGTGGTTTGTGACTGTAGTTGCGCTTGTGTTATTTATTATATTAATATAAAATTAATGAGAGGAGGGATAGTGGGATAATTAACTGCATTAAAAAATATTCAACACAAGCTCAGCTATTTTGCACGATTAACCTTCACTGGGTTCGCGGAATAGCAAATTAATTTACTTCCATCCGCAAAGTAACGCCCGATTCTATTATTTACTTAAAGGTCTCCCCCAAAATCCTCAATTGCTCCGTCTTTGGCGATCTCTCACCACTCTCTCTCAAACCCATGAAGGTCGTTTCGCCCACGCCTTCTCGGCCGTCCACGCAATGTTAAAATCTATCCTGGTATCAGATTCGGTTGTGGAGTGGTTTCGCCACTATCTCGTTGGGCGAAGGCAATGTGTACGTGTCGATAACAAGCATTCTACCTTCTGTGATGTTACTGCTGGTGTGCCTCAGGGTGGGGTCCTCCCTCCTCTTCTTTTTTCAATATTTATTAACTCCCTTACTCCCTTGCTTTCTTGTCAGTATCATTTGTATGCTGAAGATCTTCAGATCTATTCCCGGTCTCCTGTGCATGGTTTAGATTATAGTTTAATTGCTGAACTTAATGACGACCTTGCGACAATACACAATTGGAGTCGTACCCATGGCCTTACAGTCAATCCCAACAAGTCGCAAGCCATCGTCATTGGTGGCTCGAAGCAGATAGCTAAGATAAATTATACGTCTGTTCCCTCGCTCGTCTTTGACTCCTTCCCTTTACCTTTCAGCAGTGTTGTCAAAAACCTTGGCGTTCTCTTTGACTCCACCCTGTCTTCGCGAATCGCGAACTAAGGTCCAAGGCGGATAACTTGCTGAAACCTTCCTTCACCCGGTCAGGATACTACATGAACTCCTTTACGATTATGGCTGCACAATTGTGGAACGAACTTCCGTCTGAAATACGACATTCCAAGTCGCTTCTTATTTTTAAAACTGCATTGCGTAACTATCTTCTGAAACGTTCCTAGTATGCAACATGTATTTATATATTTATTGGTAAGTATAAGTATATTTAGGTATATATATTTCTTTATTATTTACAAATATATATGTAAGTCTAGTACACCGTTATTTATTTATTTATTATTCGATACATATATATATATATATTATACTACTTATACGTTTCTGACTATGGCACACTACCTCTTCTCCTTAGATTAGCTTTCCTATACCTTAAAGGTTATCTGGAAGAGATCGCTCTTAGCGATAAGACCGCCTTTGCCCACATTAGTTTTAAGTTGTCTATGTACTGTTTTTGTTATTGTATGTGAGCAATAAAGTGTATATCTATCTATCTACTCCTTCAAGGACCAGTAGCTCTTCCAGACTTTCTCTATGCGAAAACCGATTGCCTTATCTTGCCTGTTTTCAAAGCTTGCTAACTGGCCCCGATAGATATGAGTATATCTATCGATGAGTATCGACATACTGGATTGCCTGCCCGTCTATCTCAATTAATTATTAATTATTTGACAGTAATTGTTATGGACGGAGAACTAGACTACAGCGCCTGCTGATCACGGATCACATCACGCAACATTATGCCCATATGTATAACAATTTTGTCGACGATGATGGAGCATGCACACCTAAATAATGCCTGTTGACTCTCGCCTTGAAACTTTTATTATTATTAAATTTACTTAATCTTACAAGTACAGTTCGCTGATCATATTTTTGTGTTTGATGGTATCACTGATGGGGCACCATGATTTAAAAGTGTGTCCTATCGAAATTGTGTCCAAATGAAAGTAAATTTGTGGTAAGCATTATACCCGTTGCATTTTTTGTATAATTATTGTTTATACCTTCTCAAACTGATGTACTCTGAAGATACCTCGCGTGTCACGTCCGTGGGAACCTACTTCTTGTCTGAAACACGTGGAAAGACCAGCGTACCTGCAAAATACAATTTCCTAAAAATTACAAATAGTTTTAAAATTATATTCTAATAAAATTATCTTTGGATAAGACTGCGTTACAGAGTGAATTAGAAAAAACAATTCCAATAGATATATGGAGTGTTTTTTTAAATGGGACAGTATGGGGAAATCCGAAACCATAGAAGATACAAGGAAGCTGTCTAAGGAACCATTAAGTATTTTTTTGGGAAAACAATTTTGCCATAGTCAATTTTTTGTCAAGCATGTCCATGAAAATGAATAAAATAAAAAAATCAAAAATAAATCAAAAAATTTTTAATGGGGTTCGACTCAGTTTTATGTAAGGATCATTTCATAGTATGGGCTGATAAAAATCGAGACAGCAGAAGTTGATCAAATTTCATAAAATGCTTTTCATACAAAACAAATTAAAAAAAAGAAAAAAAAAACTTATAAGGGACGAGAAAAATAGGGACAACAGAAGTTTGTCAACTTAACAAAATGATTTTCATACACACGCTTGACCAAAAAATTGACTATGCCAAAATAGTTTTCACAAAAAAGACTTAATGGTTCCTAAAACAGTTTCCTTGTGTCTTCTATGGTTTGGGATTTCTCCATAATGTACCATTTAAAAAAATACTGTATAATATAGATGTGTACCGAATTTTTCTCACCTAATAGGTAAGGAAGATTCAGGTAACCACTCATCTCTATGGTAAGCGGCTATCGGCTGCTCCGACGTGGCGATCAAGTATTTCTCCTCAACGACGTTGTCTCCCTTGTTTTCAGACCCTTTGCCTATCACTTTGTACAGTTCCTCATCAAATTGTGCTAGTTGAGCTACTTCTTGCATTACCTAGTACATAGTTATAGTTAAGTTAGGTAAAATAATGTATTTTTATGGTTCAGAAACAGAGAGGTATTGTAAGGTATTATAATCTACAGAGGCATTTACAATGGTGAAGAAGTTTTGATATATTTTGATGCACAAGGTTTTTTCTAATAATACAAGTACTTTAGGGAATGTTTGCATGTTGTGTATGCTTGTGTATTATACTGGTTCTTTCCGTCACCATTCACACGCACTTTTATTGTGGGTATACCTATAATACGCCGAAGCATTTTGCTTCCATAAGCACTATGTGAATGCATACCAATCCTTGACCAATTTTCACATTCAAGTAAAATTTAATAATTGGAGAAATAGCAAAATCAACCATTAAAATAATTGCTCCTAAATTAAAGTTAGGCGCTATTTATAAAAATGAATCTTCATGCGTGAACAGCCACCCTTAAAGGTGGATGATTTTCTTCAAAATTAAATGGGACCACTATGGAAGTACCCCCTTTCCAACAAAATAAGAATCATGAAAATCACAAATACCGGAGTTATCGCGTAACATACATACAAAAAAAAAGAAAAAAGAACATACAGTCGAATTGAGAACCTCCTCCTTTTTTGAAGTCGGTTAAAAATTAATAAAAGTTGCGGTGCCGCAACCTGGCGTCGACTACTTGTCCCGCCTCGGGCAATACAAAGTGCAACTTAGCTTCACAACTATAACTATAACTATTGTGTGCAGTCATCATCATTATTTAAAAAGTACAACTCTAAGGGCGCGTTCCCATCATGTCGTAACGTTTTATTTATCGTTGAACGACTGTCGCGTCAAGCTTGTGCCCATATCACGACTATCTGTCGTGACTGTGTCGTGGACGTTTATTTTATCACTGAGTGCCTGCCGTGTTCCCACTAACTGTTCCCACTAGATCGTGACGACAATTTACGGCAGCCGCCTTGCCGTTAGTACGACAGATAATCGCATATCAAACGATTCTGTTCGCGATCGAGATCGCGCGACAGAATCGTTTGAAGCTGCGATTATCTGTCGTCACATTTTTATCGAGGCGTTTGTTGTTCTAGCTCTTCCCATTGTCGTGACAGGCTGTCGTCGTAACGTCAAAAGAGTCGTGAACGATAGTTAAGCATGTTGTTCTATCTGTGAACAACTGCATTTACATATACAAGTCATGACACTTTAAACTGCACGACTATCTGTCTTCACCACATAATGGGAAGGCGCCCTAAGGGCACAACGTTATGTAGGATAATAATTCCACTGAAATGTTAATAAACTACATCATTTTCCTAGGTACTGTTTTTTCTAGGTACAGTTCTCCTAAAAGTAATAAACTAAACATAAACTCATACATACATCTTTTTTCATAAAGAAAGGTGTATATAACGGGAGATATCCTTTCTTAAGCAGTATTCTCAATGATAGCTGCACAATGGCCTGTTCCAGAAAGACCGCCGGGCCTTTGAGGTAGTAACCACGGCCACCCGCAACTGCCGCGCCTCGTTCGGCATCCATACCTAAAATGAAAGTGATATTCTGAAGTATAATTTGCTTCTTTACAATATAAAGAAACACATTCTCATATTATGCTATTGTCTATTAATATCTAATAAACAAACGTGTGCTCTGTGACACCATATGGAAGAGGCTATAATAAAAATAAACTAGCTGTTCTTGACAGTTGTCTTCACAAAGTCTCAAATTCATTTAAGGGGCAATGTATACCCTTCTATAATAAGATTCCGATTGATACTCAAAAGGTTATTATACAACTTTGCATATTTGGATAGAAAAATCCAAGACAGTGACCCATTTAGCTCTTTCAGGTATTCTTCATCTAGATGTTTAAATTAAATATTGTAGGTGTATGGGCCCAGCCCACACCCTGCTATATAATTAAACTTGCAAAGTGTTTGTTTATTTAAATGTTATTTTGAAGTAAGGAAAATAAGTGTACATAATAATATCACATAGTAGCTAATTATTGAAAAAAACATGTTTTCCTAATTATACCAAGTTGGTTTTGTGTACACAACTGTGTGGTAACTGCATATGTGGCAGTCTTAATGGTTTATTATATATATATATGAAAAGTGTACAATATGGAAACCAAGTTTTGTTTGCCTTTTTCTGACAACACCTTAGCAAGGTAAAAAAATTTCATTATCTAACACCACAAAAAATGATTGAAAACACATATTTTTTATATTAACTTATATGCAGTAGCTTCAACACTCACTGGGGGGCAGTAGGGACCACGTTGGGAAACTATGCTTTAACATGTTAAAACACAAATTTTTCCAGAAATATATTACACCAAAATTATACAAAGTGGTGTAATATCAACCCCTCCTATGTAAAGTATTGTATGTCGAACTTGCCAAGTTTACAGGGGAGCATTTTAAAACTGAATTCACTGAAATAAGCATAATACATGACTAGCATTTCTCAGTTTTATTCAGCTACGCTTGTTACTCACATAGAGTATTATAAAATTCTAGATATTGGTTAGATGATCCCTCTATGTGAGTAATGAGAGAATTCAGAATGTTATAATGCTCCCCTGTAAACTTGGCACTTTCGACACACAATCCTTTACGTAGGAGGGGTCGATATATGGGGGAAACAAATGCCTTTTTAATAGTTTCTTGGTAAAATATCAACTCACCATCAATCATAGAAATGAGATCTACATGAGAGTATTTATTCCTTGCAGTACAGTCCCCATATGTTCTTACAACTTGGTTATTGTCTTCATTGTCATCGATTGGCACAGACTCATGGGTAAGGTTACCAATTTCCCTGAGTGCTGCGGAACGAGTCCTTTCTGCTTTTACGAGAGCTTGGTCATTTGTTGTTATTGCTTCATCTATAAGTACTCGTACCTGAAATGAAATTATTTGTATGATAAATCACTGAGTTTGTTGTTGTGCAATCTGCATTAGAAAAAAAAGTGTAACGAAAATTATTAATTTCCCTTAATTTCTTCAGATTTTTCATATACAGCTGTTTATTGTTAGCAGTTTTGATTTTGTCTTTTTAAAAGATATTCTTAATCTGGTCGAAATATGTGCACGAAAGCCAATCATGAAAGTATGTTTTATGTAAAAAATGGAAAACATCTAACGCCCAGGTTCATCAATAGTTATATTTCGTGAGGTATAAACAAGTACCTTTTTAATTTGATTCACGGTAAGCGGCTTCAGCTGATCGCCAATAAGATTTATTAGGTTATCTACAATCACGGCCGGCAATGGCTCGTCCTCCGCCCCCACAGGCTCCTTGCCCTTCATCTTCCGCCCTATCTCCTTGCTGCACATATTCTTCAGCATATTCAAATTGTCGGCTACATGTCGCAATCGTCTCCACACAGTATCCTGTTCAATAACTATGTCCACTAACTTCACATCTTTAAACCTTTTGCGTTGGTTCTCACGAACTTTTTCAGGGTCACCGTCTTTGTCGGCACGAAAGAGATCTAAGTCGAGCACCATCCTGATGTTATTTGAGTAAACGTGGCGCAATGTTTGTTTTTTAAAGTTGGAAAATTAAAAGAGAGAGGTGGTTACACGTCTAAAGTATGTTTCACGAGTTTTGTGACATTGACATTCAATGTTTTTATATTACTTTCATTGCTGGGTAATTTTCCGACTGAAAAATGTTCTACCTTTAAAATATCTTTTGGATTTTTCGTTTAGCGCGAATTATAAAATAAACTTGTATTATCTAAAAGCTGCAGAGAAAAACGAGATTTAAAATTATTTGACAACAGCGAAAAAAACCTTCCACAATCACACCACCACCACTTGCTATTGGCTCCCTCGGTTTCGTTCAGTAACTTAAACTTTTTACAGATGTCAACTTAGAGCTTAGAGGATAGAAAAAAAAAAAGAATAGAGTCATATTCCAGAACTCTACTCTATGCTCAAGTCAGGATTTGACCAGACTTGAGTATGATTTTAAGCACTGGAAATAGGACCCTAATAGCAAGGACTTGAGTGTGATTTCTAGTGCTTTGAATCATACTCAAGTCTTGACTTGAGCATTGAGTAAAGTTCTACAATACGACCCTAATGGCAGGGACTTGAGTATGATTTCGAGTGCTTTAAATCGTACTCATGTCATGAATTGAGCAATGAGTAGAGTTCTGGAATACGACCCTTAGAGCATACAGGACGGGAAGCGCTATCAGCGTTATTTCTCGAACAAAAATTTCTGCCACTTTTTGAGCCCCTCAAAAAGTACTACAAGCAAACAGGTGCACTCAAATGCAAAATTGAATTGTGTCACTATGGCCTCCTACAAACGAAAGTCTACAACACTAGCTTATTTTTACAAATACACAGATAAAACACACATTCATGCCATGTCCGTACATAGAATAAGCCTGTAAAAATAAATCGATTCTCATGAATATACTAGAGTCGGAAAGTTATTGACGTGACGGTGTCGAAATGTATTACGTATTGATTAATCATGTATATGAAAAATGTAATTCCACCTTGGCTAGACTGTATGTAGTGAATTTATTTTTCCAATTTTGTGTGTACTGTAACAGTAAGGTAACAGTAGTATTGTTTTACTTGTATTTGCCAGAGGAGATTGCCCATTGACTTACAATAAATGGATGACAATAAATACAATCCTAACTCTAATCCAAAAACCGCGGAAAAATGTCCGGAGTTTTTTTTTCAGTGTATGCCTTGTCGCAGTCAGGGTTGGAGCCAATGACAAGCATGGCCGGAGTTAAACTCTACAAACGTAGTGACATGTATAGAAATATTTAAAAAACTAAAACGTTTAATTTAAACTGTAAAGTCATTGAGGTATTGCTTAATTTTGTTTGCCACAATTTAAAGGCCTAAAAATTATGCATATCAGCTTCTACTGGAAATAACAAAATGCACCATATTTGGCTTCTTGTGAAAACTACTTGAACACAAGAGTTATGGAGTAGTGTTAATGTCAATATTAATTAATTTTATAGTATTATGTTGCATTTTTTACGAATTCACTTCAAGTAATAAGAGTTGTGATATATAGGTACATACATACATATACTGTAAATGCGAAAATAGCTGTGTCTCTCTGTTGGTAGTTATAACGTGGTGCAAGAAATATTTTGATGATTCGAATTTCTAGATTCCAACTAGAAATAAACTCAAAGTTTAATAATCTCGTAAACCGATTTATAACAAAACCGTTATGCTTTCAGGGGATTTTGGTTGCTCATTACAAGGAAAATAAGAAAGAAGTTACTTTGTTTTGTAATATTCCTAAAATAACCTAAAAAATTACATTTGGGATTACAAAAATTCGAGCAAACATTAACTTCGGGCAAATGTATTTTCGGACTTCTGATTGATAACTCGAACCAGTAAAACGAATACAACAATATTTTGTTAGTTATTTATGACTAATATTTAACAAGAAGTGATTTTAAAAATAAGATTAACATTAAATCAACTCTATAGTTTTTGTTCTAAATTTAAATATTTCGATCGCTTGTAGTTCGAAAATTGAAATTGACGCTAACGGGTCTCTTTCTGTCTTTTGCGCGTGTTTTTTTTAGGATAAGGACAGTTAGCTCTTTGGTTATTTTTATTGCTTTTGTAATTTATATATGTACTTACGTATATGTACTTACGTATATGTACTTTTAATTTTTTTCTTACAATACGGCATGATTTATATTAAACAATTACAATTTATTTTCATTATATATAATTTATTACATTATTATTTAATATACAATACGACGGAGAAATCGCTGGTCCCAACCACTATGGAGATCTTTGCAACAAAAAAAGGATCATCAAAATCGGTTCACAAATACCGGAGTTACCGCGTAACATACATACAAAAAAAGAACATATAGTCGAATTGAGAACCTCCTCCTTTTTTGTCGGTTAAAGACAAAATAAGTAAGTAAGTCAATGAAGAGAAGGCTTGGAGAAGACGGGACTTGTGGAATACACTTTGTAAAATCTACGTGGCGTGTTTATTTTATTTTTTGCAAGAAGAAGCCAAAATGCCATTTTCTAAATTTTTTTCGCTAAAGAAAAGTAAAACTTATGGCGCGTACAAATTAACCGTTGTTAGACGCACTGCAGCCGCGCGGTGGCTGTCACGCTAGTGAGGTGTACATGTTAATTTTTCAAATTAACTACGATGGATGAAAATCGAATTGACAAGTAAAATTTGATTTGATTGAAAATTAAATTTATAGATAATGTGAAACAACACCCTGCAATATGGGATAGCATCTCCGCCAGCTATTCCAATTTCCAATGGACTGGACAAAAAAAGGCATGGGAAAATGTACATATGTCTAAAATTTGTTGACAATTATGAAACTAAAACTACAACTGAAAAAAACAAAGCAGGTGAGACATTTTTAACACCTATGTGTGAAGTGTATGCCTCAAGAACTTTGACGGGGGGTTGGACTATATGTCTTTTGGTTTTGAATACAAGTGTGAAGAATAGTGTTAAACAAACGTAAAAATCCCATAAAAACCCGTAAACAAGGCGAAAACTATTTAGAAATATTTTTCGTAAATCGAGTTTTGTAACTATTTAATTGTAATATTACAATGTGCTTTTGCAATCCATCGCGTAACTGAATCGAAAGATAAAACATCACTAAAAAAGTGGTCGCACTTCAGCAGCGTGGGATTCGCTCTGGGCCTTTTGGAGGGAAAAGTGTTGTTTTTATTTTGACTTTCAATTATTTTGTGAAATCTAGTTTAAAGTGGAATAGGATATTATAGGATATCACGTGTCTTAATCGAAGATTGAAATGCGAAATTATACGAATCTCTTCTTTTTTTGGAATTCTAAGGAATCCCGAGTCAATCCAAGCACGCCGCCTCAAATTGCCTATTCTTTGTGGCGGCCATATTTACAGAAACATAATTAAATGAAGACACGGCTCAAAGGACTTGTATCCAAGCCAAAATTATTAATAAAAAAAAATCAGCCGCACGGCTGCAGCACTTTTAACAGCGGCTAATTTGAACGCGCCCTTAATTTCTTGTTATTTTGGCAACACAAGCTTGGAGTTGTCATTTGTCAATTGAGCGATTTGTCGGCCCTTTCGTGGAGCTACTTTTGTTCGAATTTTTTACAATATTTTGTATACTATGCGGTTGCTATTGGATAATCGCTGAAATTACTGAAACTTTATTGAATGTCTACTAACTGTGAGTATTCATTATCGGCGAAAGTGAATGTTTTTGCGCAAAAAATCTATTTACCACGTCTTGTTTACACGTCTTCATATCGACAGATTCCCAGATCTATTTACAAAGGGGTGGATTCATTCCAATAAGTCGTCTAAATCTTTGTTTGTGTTGCGTATTACGCGGAAAAAAAACCAAACTCGTACGTAACGTTTTGTTGAAGGTAGAATGAAATATTTTTTTAATGATTAACGCAAAATAAGTGTCTAATTTATTTTACTTTGATTATGTTTGTAACCTACTTTCATTGCTTCCTCTTCCCTGATAGTTGAAAAATAACTAATTACGGCATGACATAACAAAATTTTCAACACAGCTAATTTTGTTAATACCAATATTTACATTTAATTTATTTTTATACTTATTTTGTTTTTCAGGCAATGCTAAAATGATTCCCCTTAAAGACAATCAGGACATCGCTTCTTTCCTTGTCACAAAGCACTCTTGGAGAGGGAAGTACCAACGAGTGTTTTCTATTGGCACTCATGGCATCACTACATACAACCCTGACCGTCTGGAAGTGACAAATAAATGGCTGTACTCTGACATCATTACTGTTGCCTCGGCCAAGCACTCAAACTCAGCTGCAAACCATGACTTCACACTGGTCATGAAGAAGGGCAATAAAGTTGACGCAATGAAGTTCTCTTCGGAACACAAATGTCTGATTCTTACTGAGGCATTTAAATATAGGCACTTGTTTGCTGAGAGGCCAAAAGATATACTTGTAAGTATAACTTCTTTAATATGAAATTTTTCATTATATTTCATTTACTTTTTATGAAATGCTGATAAATAAGTATTAAACCTTGAAATAGCGGATTTAGTTATTATTTTCTAGCCACACCGTTTACATTCTATGTCGTATTTTGACAGGGGCACTAGTTGATTCCCAAATCTAGACTAGTGTATAAAGTGCACATTTAAGTCCCAATTTTGAAATCAAATAATGTGTGAAAATTGTGAAAGTTTAAATTAATGGGGGTACTACTGTTGGTATTTATCATATATTACTATTGTTAAGAAATTATTATTTTTTAATTCTACATGAGCTTAAAATACAAGGTATGTACAGTCCGCGAGGCCTAAGCTGAGCTTTGCATTTGTGTGAGTGCACATAGATAGTGTAGGTGTGACGTCGGCCTAGAGGGCGACGCGTCCTTCGCTAGGTTTAAATCGGTTTAAAGTGCTTTTTGTCAACTGGCCTGAGGCGCGGTGCATCCCTCGCGCGACGCAACTCCGCCGCGCACCTTTCACACTTCACCTCTTGTACTGGTAGCAGCGTGACGTGTTTAATTCTTAATATTTTGTTTTTGTGTTCGATTTATTAGTGAAATGGCTGCCAACACAAATAAACGAATTATACGAAAACCTTTAAATAGCCAAGTAAAGGAAATTTTGTGTAATTTAAATAGTTATTTTAAAGACATGAACGACAAAGACATGTCAAACCCAGGTATGCGCGTTCAGTTCCAAAAAATCCCCATTCCTTCCACTTCCCCATCTTCAGGGTACAAGCTGCAGGACAAGCTCAGCCTGCTGGGGATGAGCATCCGGAAGGACATGAGCAACAAAGAGTATATAGAGAGCGTCATCTGTACCGCGTCGCGCAAGCTTGGCATCCTGAACAAGGTGCACCGATTTTTTACTCCAGAGCTGCGATACCTGTTGTATAAAGCTCAGGTCCGAAGCAGCATGGAGTACTGTTCGCACCTTTGGGACGGCTCTGCCAAGTACTTGCTCGATGCCCTAGATGGACTGCAGCGCTAAAAAATGTCAAATGTCACTACATCAGCCCAATTGGTAGCGACATCGACGGGAATTCCGCTGTCCACTGTCAAAAGAGTTTTATTGGAAGGTAAACGTCTTTTGGAAGACGGAAGCAAATTTAAGTCTCCGAAAAAGACCAGATGCAGGAAAAATATCATTATCATTGACGATTTTGATAAAGCGGTAATCCGAAGAACTATTCGCAACTTTCACATTACTGATAAAGAGGTGCCAACTATGAAACGAATATATGAAAAGTTGAAGAGAGAAATAAACTATCCAGGTTCAATTTGGTCATTGCGTAAAGAAGTGTCTCTTTTAGGATTTAAATGGAAAAGAACAGAAGATAATAGAAAAATTCTAATGGAAAAACATGAGATACGTTATCTACGTATACATTTTTTGATTAAAATTTCCGAATATCGCATGGCCGGCCAGTCGTTTATACCGACGAAACATACATAGACACGACTCACACTTCTTCAAAATCTTATTTAGATGGCAGCACTTCTGGTTTGAAGAAACCAATTTCTAAAGGAAATCGTCTAATAATAGTTCATGCCGGCGGAGAGGACGGTTTCATACCAAATGCACTGCTGATGTTCAAAGCAAATAAAAAAAGTGGTGATTACCATAATAATATGAATGCAGCAAACTACACGAAATGGTTACAAACGCAATTAATTCCAAATTTAAAGCCCAATAGCGTTGTGGTGGTAGACAATGCATCTTACCACAATTCGTTAGAAAATCCCGCTCCCAACTCAAATAGTCGTAAACAAGATATGATTGACTGGCTCAAGTATCGCAATATCGATCACTCTACATCGATGCCTAAACCACAACTCTATTAATTGATACTGCAAAACAAACAAAGATTTATTGAATATAAAATTGACACTTTACTTAGAGAACATGGTCACAGCGTCATTCGTCTACCACCCTACCACCCGGATTTCAACCCAATTGAAAATATATGGGCAATGATAAAAGGGTACGTGGCTAAAAAAAACGTGTCAATGAATATGGATACAATTATGAGGTTAGCGAAAGAAAAAGTTGACACTATCACTGTAGAAGAATGGAAAAATGTATGTGACCACGCAATAAAAGAAGAAAAAAAGTTTCATGGTCACGATGCCATTCTTGACGATATAACGGAACGATTCATTATTAACACAAACGATACATCAGAGGAGAGTGAAAATGAAGACGAGAGTGATAAAGAAAATGATGAAAATGCAATGCAATGTAAATGCAATGTCCGGTGCAGAAGAATTGTTATAATTTTTTTATATTTGAATTTTATTTATTGATCTCTGACTTCTCGGTCACACTTACATATGTACACATGGTCATCGGTCATACATATCATAGCTGGCTTTTATTTTAACAATTTAAGCTATTTAGTTTTAATTTATTTTTAAACTAGAATATCTCTCCCACTTATGTTAAAAACCTACCTAATACTAAAATTTATTTTTAAAAGTTTTTTGTCTGACTCTACTTTTGGTGATCACTCACACAAATGCAAAGCTCAGCTTAGACCTCGCGAACTGTAATTATGTTTTGAAGTTCAATTCATTAATCTGTACAGGAAATAACTTAACTTAAATTTTTAAACAATATCGTGTATAAATTTTATGACAAATTCTTTCCTGCTATTTTTATTTTGTTGTACGTATTTTCTTCTTAACTTTTTGTGCTTTTTGCGTTTGCGTGTTTGTGTGAGTGTGTGTATGCGAACGCTTGTATATGCCTGTGTGATAATGTATTTAAGTATATAGCATGACATGGACTATATGCAATACATAGGCCCTACTAAATATAGTAGTATGTTCTGTTATAGTAGGGCCTATGCAGCACTTTGTCATAGTAATTTATCTATTGTGTTTGCCACTAATTGCAACTCAGAACCAAGGAAAATGGAATGAAAGAACTGTAAGATTTTCTTAGCTTCTATTTTCAATTTTTCAATTCAACATGTTTGCTCAAGAGTGAGTTTTGTGTGCCCATTAGAGGGCAACATTGACTTAGGAGATGCAGAGTTCTCACCCATTTCATGGCAGAATCTATGGTCCATGCTCTCACTTAGTTTAAGGTTAAACAAGTGCATAATCACAGTACAGTGACGTGTAAGAGCCTTAATCGCAACTTAGTCACTATTCTTGTTCAATGCTAGAGTCTTGTGTTGCTGGTTATCAGAGTTTTCAAGTGTTCAAGATCATTGACTTGTAGCTGGATATGTTGGGATGCATCTATGCATTGGTTTCAGAGTATGAACTTTGCCATTCTTTTTGAAAGCTTTTTTGCTGCCTCATTACTCTTAATATTAGAGTGGCTTGGCACTCAGTACAAAACCAATGGATTCCTCTCACCAAGAGTATAAGACTATAAAGGACTGGTGCAAGTGTGTAAATAGTTGATGTCTTTGTGGGTTGATTGAGGTTGGAGGTTGTCTGAATTTACATAAATGTCCTGATTAATGTAGATTTGTATCAAATCTAATGTAGATTTAGATAAATTTTCCTTCAAGTTAGATTCTCCTGTTTCCAGTCCTTCATGATTGGAATAACAACATAGAACAGTTTTTTTAAATTGTTTTTGGAAAGTGTGATACCAGCTGACTTTCCCAGAATGGGATGTTCTTGAATTGAGTATATAATAGTGGCAGTTAATGTTATTGAACAATGCAACTTTCTGAATAAACATGACTTTTTCTTCAACAGAGATATCAAGCCTACAAACACCATTGGAGTGGTACCCGCCTGCCGGTAGTCCTAGAAGTGGGACCATGCTCTCTAGAACAACTGGATCCCTCCACACACACCCTCTTAGCTAGCTACCCATATTGCGAAATACAGGGAATTCTTCCTGTCAAAGATGTACCAGGAGGTTTTGTGTTAGCTGTAGGGGGTTATAGTAGACTTCATTTGTTTTCCAATTCAATGGACAACCAGATAATAATAAATAAAATGCTTGAAATGGCCAACCTGACTTTGACAATCAGTATCAAAGTTTTAGCAGCTACAATTACTTTAGATGATTGCCACAATCAACGGTTCGGGAAATATAGGTGAGCCCTTTTTTAATTACTAATTAATTAACCATCATCATCATTTCAGCCAAAAGACATCCTCTGCTGAACATAGACCTCCCCCAAAGAATGCCACAACGACCAGTCCTGTCCAATTAATTGATATCCAGCATTTATTGATACATCTTAATATCATCTAGATGTAAAATTCATTTTTGGAACTTTGTTAACATTTTTACAACTATACAGATGTTATAAGATTGTCAATATAAACTCACTCAGTTACCACCTATACACAAAAGATCTTTTAAAATGATTAAAGAATTATGTACTTATGAAATGAAACAATGTTTTCGGCATCAAGTACATTTATATACTCGATGGTTTTTGAATAATAATTTTCTTTTTTCAAATGAATCACCTTTCGGGCCTACCGTCGCACCCGTATCCATGGGACCTGTAAAGGGTCCGGAATGTTGGTTTGTTAAAAAAAACAAATGTCTGCTATTTAGATTCGAAAAAATATTTATTTCCTATGTATAGCAATCACGAAAACCTAAGAACTCGAAATTATGTACTTGAGAAAATGAACAATATTTCTGGCGATATATATTTTAACATAATTTATGATTCGAAGTCAATGTGATTTCTCGTATTGTTTGAATTACAAGTCACACAACACATAACACACAAGTCACATAACACAATTGTCTATTTGATATCTCCTTTGATTGAAACCAATATCATGTTTTGTCGTCATTTCGAGGCTAACCAAATGCATGTTATCAATTTGTGTGAATAATAAACGTTGTGTGTATTGTATTGAACAGATAAGCAGATTAGGAAAAAACTTTAGATATTTGCAATGTTTCTTGTTGCAATGTATTTGCAAACGGCTTATACAATTTTGCAATAATCTTTGTAGATTCTTTATTATGAGTCTGATTTTCGTAATCAAACAAAATGTGAAAAAGAACAGAATTAATATTTCTGTATAAAAATAATTTATACAGAAAGTCGACATGGTTACATCAATGTGACTAAGACAATAAACTAGTATACTACATTAGCTTTTATGTATAGGCTTCTGCACTGTTGCAACAAACCGATCGCGACGAACTATCTTTTCGACTAAATAAGAAGTTCACGTCTGATTGTGTTGAACATCCAGATGTTATAAATTTAGTTATCGTATTCATATATCCAGGGCGTACAACATTTAATTTATAGGTGTATAATTAGAAATGTATATTAAAAGTTAAAAAAAAATGTATATAAAACCATATTAAAACATCGAATATCATGTTGTAAATCAGAAATTTACTAATAATAACGCACACACTCATCATAACTAATGCTAACAATTCTTGCTTGTTCAGCTATCCGTGTCATAAGTCATAATCAATATAGGGTCTTTTTTAAATTGATTCTAGTTTGAATGTACTTTAGTGGGTTTATTGCTCTGCTAGTCATTATATTTGGATATTCTGAGGACCCTAAATATAGTATGTTAGAGAAAAAAAAAACATTTTTGTCTCATGTTAACAACGCTAACAAGACCCAACTTTAATTGGTCCTTCCCTCAACCAAAAACCAAAATAAGGTTAGCTTTTTAATGGTCATTTGCTTGTTCCAGTGGCGACCAACACCAAACTTCGTTAAGCGAGTTTACAGTTCACAAAGTGAACGCAGCTCGTCATATGGAGCCTATGCGTCGTACACTATGCTTGTCTGACACTTGCATACTTGAGAGAGATCCACAGACTTATTCAGTGAGTAAATAATCTCCTAAGACCCGGCAAACTGCAATGGGAAAAGCGCTAATTGCCCAATATGCATTGAAATGTACTAAATAAATTACATACTTCAGGCTCAAGCATGTCTTCAGGTTTTTCTAGATACCCTATGTTCATATGGAATACGTAGCACAAATTTGAACGTTATAATGTATATACACTGTCGTTACGCGATCATAGGAATAATATTGTCTAAGTCTGAATCATGAAATGTACATTTTGATGTACACGAGACCTTAGGTGGATGTTTGATTTTACTATTATCTTTTAAAATTTCTTTTTTAAAATTTTGTATGTGGACTACATATATCTACCATATAACAAGTTCGAGCTCGTGTCATTGTTTGGTTAATTATTTAAGGTGCTAAAAATTATGTACGGATAATTTTAGAATCTGCGATTGGCATAATGATTATCAATTTAAAGTATAAATAAAAATAATACTTTTTATGCGATTTTAAATCTTTACTACACACAAAATAAATTTATAATTATATCCAAACCCTATAGCATATCAATATCCAGAGCGTTTGACTGACATCAAGTTTAATTTCAATGGCTTCGCTTCGCTTTGTTGTGCATAAGTATTACAGTAACATTGACGTTCTTGTTTGTTTTATAATGTATATCTGCTCTTTTGTTTATTAGTTTATTTTCGGTTTGTTTTCATGATGCATTATTTTACCGACTGTAAGGTCACGTAAATATGTATATTTTCAATAAATAAACAATGAAATTGCTAGTGATAGTTAAATGGTTTCAAAATATAATGTTGAAATGATATTAAACATTAACTGGTATGTTGTTTAGTTTTTATCTACATGCTTAGTTTCTGACGTTGTTATTTAAGGCTAAACTCTTAGTTCAATGTAGATAAATAAAACTCTTTATTAATATTTTACTTCAAAGTGAATATAACCATCGAAGTAATTAATTCGCTCTGAAAGTATCCGTACCTAATTTGTAAAGCTAGTATATAATTGAGCTTTATTATACTTCCTTAAGTTTTTTCAAAGCATTTTTTCTCTTTAGGTGGTGTGCCTTCGACCGCTGAGCGATGTGTTCGCGTTAATACGAGATCCAGATCATCCACAGAAATTCTCAATAGAATATCTTAACGGCCAGACTCGAATGTATTTGGCCGGTGAAAGGTATTATTTTTTTATGTGTGTTGCTATTAGTTTTCCAATAATCATCGTGGCGAGTACGAACGTAAGGACGAATATCGACCGCAAAACGCAATATAATTCATTTTCCTGAACTTAAATGTAAAATTTCATGGTGTTCGTTTAATTTAAGATACTATGTTATTTAAAATAAATTAATCCTTATAATTAACCGTTTCGATCGGCATCATAAAATACAGGTCGACGCTAGAAAGTTTCAGTTTGTCCATATAAAAAATAAAATTAGAATTAACATTTTTACATAAAGAAATTACTTTAAATCGCTCTCCTGTAAGGCTAGCACGATAGGGCGCGAGTAGCGCGAGAGCGACATTAGGGACAAGATCTCTACGCGACAATAACAGTATCTCGCGCTTTATGTCGCTCACGCGCAAGTCGCGCCCTATCGTGCTAGCCCTACTCCAATATTTTCTAAGTGCACGTTAGACGTTTTACCTTTCCAGTGTCGAAATGTTTTTTTTTTTCACATTTGCGCGGTTCGATTCACTCCCAAGTTTAGCAAGCAAGTTTCCAAAATATTTCAATGCAGTATTATTTACTTAAAAAAAAATGTATCCATGAAGCAAGATATGATGTCCTGTATATATATTTAAATCCAGTATAACAACTTGAACCCACGTACATGCTGCACTGTAGCATTGCGATTACCAACAGAACTACAGGTCCGGTTACTGAGCCGTCGAAAGTCTCCTATATGTTTTTGTTATAGATCTTTGTACGTTCAAGTACCACCGGGTCGACGAAATTTTTCTGTGTTTTCGATTTTTGTATTCATAATCATAACCAAACTAGTGGTGTTATTTTATAAATATCTCAATAAATACATTTGAATTGAAAAGCGACATCTGCGTTAGTTAGGTATCACAACGGTATTACGGCTGCGGTGAGAAAGTTATTCAAAAATCTCTCGCTAGATGTCACTAGCAGCGACGAATGTTGAAACCCAGTACTAAGATACTATAACAAAAACACATAGGAGGTTTTCGACGGCTCGGCAACTGGACCCGTAGCTCAGTTGGTAAGAGCAATGCCACGGTGCAGCATGGACGTGGGTTCAAGTCCCAACTGGTCGACAAGATTTTTCTGTGTGTTCGATCTTTGTATTCATAATCATAACAAAACTAGTGGAGTTATTTCACAAAAAATCTCAATAAATATTAAATCTTGTTTAGCTTAATCTAAGGTGGTAATTATTTGTATTATGTTAGTGGAGTTTGGTGGTAAACTTTCTAAAATTCAACGGTACTGTTCTACAGAGACGCCTTATTAGCGTCTCTTCTTGACGGCGTCCGCTCTGCGGGTCAGCGCGACGTGCACGTACGATCGTCGCCCACACCCCGCGCGTATCGGCTTGGCCCATTGCATCGCGAAGTCGACGAAGAAACCGAATCTAATCACCTTAGGTAAACAATTTTTTTTTATTTTTACTTATTACAATCTGTTTACCACGATATGATTTGTTTTTATTTTCCCGATGTTTCGGAACGGTTACACGCTTCATAGTCACGGGTTGACTCATGACTGGCCAGCGGCAGATGACAGCTTTAAGAATAGATGTCTTTTTTTTTATATATCAATCAAGTGTCGGGACGAACAAGTCGTGCTCCTGATGGTAAGCTACATGCCTGTTCATAACAGTTACAGTGCCACTCAGAGCTTTAAATTGCAAAGATCTGAGGGGCACTACCAATGCGCCCGTCACCCTGAGACATAAGTTGACAAGTCCCATGTGCCTGTATATTCACCAGCACCCTTACCCTTAAAAACCAGAACACAGTAATGCTGACATTACTGCTTGGCGGCAGAACTGGACGAACTCTTACACAAGGAGCTCTACTGCAACTAAGCTGTCTGTCCTCTTTCGTTGTCGACGACTACCTTCATCTCGATTACTTGTGGTGTTACCATTGTCACTCACTCTAAAATAAAAATAAAAATTGAAATAAAAAGAAAAAGAACAAGACGTAATGAAATGAACAATTTTTTTATTATTATTCTGTGAGTATTTGAATATTGTGTTGTGTATGATCGTATTTTAATTTTTAATCTAAGTTCCTAATTATGTAGCTAGAATTCGTTTAAGCATGTTTGCAATAATATGATATCAAATTACATTTTAGTATTATGTAGTGTATTTATTTAAAATTCTATTATTTGACGATATTATTGGTTGCATTTCCTTTGTATCTTCAAATTTTTTATCCTGTGGTTGCTGGGCAGAAATTGCATCTAAGGAAAAATATTGCTTTTCGTTGTATATTCCAGTATTTCATTATTACTTTGAGTAGCCAATAGGAATTTGTACAATAAGCTCTGAAGAATATTTGCGCTTCTCAACTAGCAAAAAGAATAAAAAGACGAAATTAAATATTTAAAAACCAAGGGACAAAGATCTGCCACAAGCACATAGAAAAATTCGTAAAGCCCGCTAGTTCGTTCCGTGGCTTAGTTGGCATAGCGTCTGGCACGGTTTGCTGGAAGACGTTGGTTCTAAAGGAATTTTTGTGTTTCATCGTTGTGTTAATAATTATTGAAGTAATTTCACAAAAGTAATTGAATATCGTGTGGTAAAAAATACGCGACATTCAGTAATCTTAAAAGTTTTAATGAAAGATTTTTATATTTAATATTTAATTTAGTATGAAATTTTGTGTTTTTTTTATCTCTAATTAATAAATTCATTATAATTAACAGCTGTAAAGCTCTTTATGAAAGAGTTTGTCCAGGGAAGTTCCGCCACCACACATTTTCTGCCGCTAAGCTGTAACGTGAGCATTACTGCGTTCCGGTTTTGAAGGTCCAGGCACATGTGGGTTGTCAACTTTATGTCTCAGTGTGACGGGCGCAGTGGCAGTGCACCTCAGATCTTTGCGATTTAAGGCTTTGAGTGGCATTGCAACAGATATGGATAAGCGAGTCACTTGACATAAGAAACTATGAGTGAGCTGATTTTAATGAAATTTAAATGAATAAGGACCTTATATACAAAAAGCCTTATATTAGCAAAATTTACATAAAAAAGTTATAAAATGGACGCTAAAATCTGGTCTTCACGTTATGTTGCAGACTCTTCCAAAACCCTGTAGGCATGTCGCGAGCGGAAGTGATAGAACGGTTCAACGCGAACGTCGGCTACAGCGGACTTATCTACTCAGTCAGTCAAGATGTAAGAGCATATTAATATTTGTCTTTCTGTTATAACATTACATGTAACTATCTATACAAACCACCACCTACATTTATTATCATGTACTCTACATTACGATACTTTAGGATGTTTCCACATTTGTCGATATAGAGACAGATCATCATCTAAACCCCTGGTGGGCAATTTTTTTCATTAGGGGCCAGAAATTTTATTGGGGGCCAGATTTAAAATAGCATTTTCTCTTGAAATATTTTTAATTATTGTTGTTGCATAGTGTTACATTATTTTGTGTGTATGTTAACATATATATTTTATGTCGATATGGACGAGGCTGTCAAAATATATTTCCAAAGGCCATACACTCCTACTTTAGAAGGGAAATTGGCGGGTCAATTTAAAATCCTTCGCGCCATTTTTTTTCCCCAACTCTCATCTAAACATAAATATACTCATGGACATAGTTAGAGGTATGCCTAAAAATAGGTTAAATTATGATAATAAGGTTCATATGAGCCACTGGCCACATACGCCAGAACATTTAATGGAAATCAAAAATCAATTGAAGTAATTGTTTTTTTTTCAAATTAAACGTTCTGGTGTATGTGACCAGTTAATATGAACAGTGTTATTATAATTCCAACTTTTTTTAGCATTCCTGTAAATATGAGCCCATGAGTGTATTATGTGTACGCCATATTCAATTTTTATAATATACGCTGTAGCGTGCTGTCATAATAGGGTGCGAGTGCTAACAAGGAATGAGCAAGACCATAGAAAATGTACTCACAGTTAATTTAAAAACAGAAACAAAGTATAAGATGTGCACGAGCACCAAAGCAAACAAAGAAATGTTAAATCAAAGAAAAGGCGCCAAAAGAAGTGAATATTTAAATTTAGAATTTAAATTTAAAAGTAAATTAATAAAAAAGACTTTATAAAATTTAAAAAGATTTTAAGACTTTTCACGGGTTTTAACGGGTTGACACCAGTAGTCAACCCGTGACCATGGAACGTGCAACCGTTCCGAAATATCGGGAAAATAAAAAGAAGTCACATCGTGGTAAGAAACCTGATATTAGTGATAATCATTTAGTGAATAACCACGAAAGTCTTAAAATCTTTTTAAATTTTATAAAGTCTTTTTTATTAGTTTACTTTTAAATTTAAATTCTAAATTTACCACGCCGCGTACTGCATATACAGCTCATAGTTCACCATGTCAGCTTTATCTTAAGTAGCGAACCGCAGCATTCGCTACAAATCTTTTTAAATGATTATCACTAATATCAGGTTTCTTACCACGGTATGACTTCTTTTTATTTTCCCGATATTTCGGAACGGTTGCACGCTCCATGGTCACGGGTTGACTGACTGGTGTCAACCCGTGAAAAGTAGAATAGAATAGAATAGAATACATTTATTACATAACACCACAACACAATAATAAACAGTAAACAATTAAAAGTGAAAAAAAAAAATTCAAATAAAACAGAACTAAATTAAAACTAAAACAAACTAAATTAACACAAACAGAAAATGAATAACAAAAAAGAAAACTAAATAAAATTAATTAAAAATAAAATCTTGGCAATAAATAATTATGCGACCACAAAGCTGGTCAACACTATTGCTGTACTAAGTAGATGTTATGTGTGCGGCTGTGGCGTATATAATAGGATCCACTCAGCTAATGTCACCGCCGGGACAAGGCTGTGACGCTGATTTTCAGTGGACCCTAAAACCGAGTGAGTACCGGACGTGTGTGTCGCGTTTAAACTAAAATAAATAACGTATATATTTCTATAATGTAGTATGGTGTGTTCTCTTATATTTATAAAATACTTAAATAATTCATTTCATACATATATGCAGTGATAAGCATATGCAATGTAATGTCTATTATTTACAACAAACAAAAATGGGACTTATTTAGTTATAAAAGATATCGATTGCGAGATTTGTGTCACGTGGGCGACGCAAGACGAGCGGGTAGGCGCGCGAGAAAGTCTTAAAATCTTTTTAAATTTTATGAAGCTACCGTGGTGAGAAACCTGATATTAGTGATAATCATTTTAAAAAGATTTGTAGCGAATGCTGCGGTTCGCTACTTAAGATAAAGCTGACATGGTGAACTATGAGTTGTATATGCAGAACGCGGCGTGGCGTTGTCACCACTTAAAATTTACAACAATGCCAATAAGGCTTGCATGTGAAGAAGAACCGTACTTGACTTGCGTTGCGCAAGCCAACGCAATTAAATGATTTTGTATGTATGCATTTTTTTATAACGGGACCAACGAGTCGTGCGCCTGATGGTAAGCTACACGCCTGTCCATAACATTTGCAGTGCCACTCAGAGTTTTAAATAGCAAACATCTGTGGAGCACTGCTACTGCACCCGTCACTCTGAGACATAAGGTGACAAGTCCCATGTGCCTGTAATTTCACCAGCAACCTTAACCTTGCAAACCGGAACGCAGTAATGCTAACATGGGCTAGATCGAGTTCATATAGGGCCGATTACTTATAGGGTGGGCGCCTTAGTTTTTGGCTATATCGACCCTTCCAACGTAAAGTATCGTATGTCGAAATTGCTAAGTTTACAGGAGAGCGTTTTAAAGTTCTGAATTCACTGAAATAAGTATAATACGTGACTTTAGCATTTCTCATTTTTATTCGCCAACTCTCGTTATTCACATTATAAAATCCTAGAAATCGGTTAGATGATCTATCTATTATTTGATCACTGTGTGAGTAACGAGTTTTGCCGAATAAAACCGAGAACTTTAGAACGCTCCCCTATAAACTTGGCAATTTCGACATACGATACTTTACGTAGGAGCAGTCGATATGTAAAACTGAAGAAAATATCGATCCCTCCTACACATCCAATCATAAGTCCAAATTGACAACTTTACAGTGGAACGTTTTTAATGTGTTGAAAAGACTAAAATGAGCATAATACCTGATTCTTGAGATTAAATTTGATACATACTTATTATGTTCCATACTTTTTGATTTCAATGCTTAGTATAATAGACCTAGTTTTATGTGTCTTACGACAGATTACGTAGGAGGAGTCGATATGTATATCATTTTCATATTTTTGAAATAAAAAGAGTAACATTTTTGATTTCTTAAAGATTTCGTCAAATGTGGAACAAATAAATGACATACGTATACGTAAACGTGTATTTAAATCGATGACTAATTTTCCATGGATAATATTTTCGTATTTATTTATTTAATTACTGTATACAATGTTCATTACTTAAAGATCAAAAGCTTAGCTATTTATTATTATGGCTTTTTAGTTTTGTGTTCATGCTACAATGTGACCGCTGCCAGTTCCATTAAAGAATGTATTTTTACATTACATCGTTAATTCATAACATTAAACACACGGTGTTAAAAATAGTCAAGACTGTGCTCTGAAAATCACTGTCGTAGTACTTTTAGTGAAACGACAATAACATGAGTCGACGAGAGATTCCGTAACATAATGGCATAATAGTGTGGCCTGTGATGCCATTTTTGTTACATAATTTTTTTTAGTTATTTAAGTCGATTTTTATCGTGTACCGCGATGGAAATAAAACATTTTTTTTTGCATCTCAATTGTGTATTTGTTTTTTCAAACTTAGCTCCGAAAATAATAGTTTGTTAAACTCGTATTGGGTAGCAGAATAATTTACTTCCATTTTTATTAACATGAACGTCTGAATATTAATTATTTAAAATAGTTTTATTTCCAAAAATTAAAAATAAGTTGAGTAATATCATAAGTTTTACTAAGCTGTGAGAAAAATTTGAGGTATGACAGTTATTTAGGTGAAGGACGATTAATATGGCAAATTTTAGTACGTATTGTAACCGCTTGGGGGCTGTACACTTTGCCATGAAATATTTTACATGACTGCTAGAGACTGTTAATATATATAATGTCATGGCAAACAAACAAACAAACAAATTTGTATTAGTTTTAAACCAGCTTACCATTAACCGATTGAAACTTAAATTACAGTTAGTATATCGACGCTTGAAAGGCAAAAGGGGTTAAGCGACACTTGTGTCAAAAATCAGTTTTATGTGTGTTTCGGAACCAGTAGATTTGTCTTTTAACTTATATTTATTCAAAAGTAGTAGATTAAAATTTTGTTAGACGGGCAATTATGAATAATTTAATATCCAAATCGGCAAATTTTAAATCGCTGCCCTGAACATTGAAAAAATGGCGTTTATCCGTTTTGCTATCGATCGTTGATATTATTATTGGTACAAAAATCGAACAACGCAGAGAAAAATTCCTTCGACGTGACTTTTTTTTATGGTACTAAGTGACGTGGTGAACGACACGCCTGTCCATAACAGTTGCAGTGCCACTCAGAACTTTAAATCACATAGATGATGAAGGACACTGCCATTGCTCCCGATAACCTGCGACAAGTCCCATGTGCGTGTAATTTTCCCAGCATCCCTACCCTTCGAAATGGGAACGTAGTAATGCTCACATTACTGCTTTGCGGCAGAAATAGGTAAGGTGGCAGTGCTTCTCTGAACGAAATCTTTCACAAGGAGCTCTACAGCTACTAACCACTGAACTGACTGGATTCGTACCAGCGTCTGTTTCAGTCACACCGAACGAATTTTTCTTTGTGTTGTAAAATTTTTGTGTCAATATTATAACAAACTGTTGAGTAATTTCACTTCAATTTAATATCATGGTAACAAAACCATCATGATATTCAGTAAAATAAATATTACTGTTACTATTTTATGGGAATGAGATTATAACATTCTATTCTCATAGTGTTCATCTGATCATGGAATGGGAAGGTGCTTTATGAAATTGCCTAACAAGGAGTTTAGAACCCAGTCTTGACATTTTTAATGCATTTCATTCGCGATAAGAATTAGCAATGTTCAGTTTGCTCTAATTTCACGTGAAATGCTTTAAGATACCTGTCCCAGCGCTCTATAGTCTGTCTTTTTTTATGATGGAGTAAAATTATTCAATTTGCAAAAGTGTTGCTCATTTGCAAGCAACTAGTGATTGCAGTCGATAAATTATATCGACTATTCGATTGAATGTTGGTTACGCTTATAAAATAATAGTCGAATTTGTTTCATTTGAATCATCATCGGCCCATTATTCGTCCTACTGTTGAGCACAGGTTCATTACAATTGTCAATATTGGAAAATTCGTACATACATACACGATACTAATACTAATAGACCAAGTGTCAAAATAAGAATAAAGATACAATAACGTAATTAGTTATTGTATTGTATATTAGAACGTCGTAACTTTCACAATTGAGATATTTTTTTTTTTGCTAAATTTTATCCACTTTCAAAATTTATCGATAAAAATGTCGACAACAACTTCAATACTATTTAAAATTTTACGAACACTGGCAAACCTGAAAATGTCATTTTACTCCGTCTTAAAAAAAGACAGACTATAGAATCGCGTCAAATGATGAAAGATATTCAAGTTTCCCAATCACATGGCTCTATTCACAGTGATACGACAATTACCTTTTACATTCTTAATGTGATTGGACTAAAGACACCGTTAACACTCAATCGTTTACTTCGTACATATTGCCTCAAATTTTTTTTGTTGCTATAATTTCGGGGCATATTAATGTAATATTGTGTGCCTTGTAGGCCTCCTCCCCCCTGTTGTGGCTGTTTCTTACATGGGATCTTGTAAGTCCCCAATCATTTTATTATTTTCTACAAGTTTCTGTCTTCTTTACGCTACCCTTTCCTTAGTTATACGAGAAAGAGATTTAATTATATAATAGTTAATTAGTAAAATACTTGATGACAGTGGGAAAAACAGGAAACATTTATGGATTTTCTTTCCATTCCAAACAAGAATGGTACAACATTAATTTATGCTATCAATAAAAAATACGCAATTATTGTAATTAATTATAAATGTAAATAAATGACTTTCTCGTAAGATTAGTAAACTTTGTTGAATTTAACGGTTATTTTTTGGACGGTAAATGGTACACCATGGAAAATTCGTCACTATGTAGATACTCATTTTTATTCATTGTCATAGTCAAGTTCATGGTATGTGAGGTAACCATTTCATTTTGTAATTTTGTATGTATGGATTAGAGCTTCGGGGGGACTTTGCAGGTGGGGAATAATCGGGCAACATCGGAATAGGTGTAACAGTCTTATGACAAGAGAATTTTAATGGCAAAAAAAATAAAAGAAAAATTTCGTATAGCAATTTTTACACTTAAAAGTTTTTATTGTAAATTTATGAATTTCCGCATTTTCTATTTAAATGTTTATGTAGTTTGTTGCAGTACACTTTAGATTAATAGTTCATCAAGCTATTGACTTTTATTCGAATATCGCCTCCAGTGCAACACAATGTGCTCCCTTCTGTACCCTGCAGAGTAAATACAATTAATTCGTTATACTTTTAATTAAACAATGATATTTACTATATTATTAATTCTGCCAAAGTTGCTATTAACTATTGTCAATTTGCCAACTTGTCGTCAGATTTTGGTACACCTATATTTTATCGTTACTTGCTAGTAATAGAAATTACATTGTGCAAAACCAAGCAAATTGCATTGTGTAAAAATGAGCTTTATTGCCTATTCTGGTGTCTTGATATCAAGCCTAACGTTTGTTATACAGTCTTAGGGTTGGTTCCCACTCGAAAGCACGTTCCAGTGTTGTGACCATACTAAACGTGTGTGGCGCAGCAGCATCGAGTATGCCTCATATTATACATATGTTTAATGTAGCAACGTTCAAATGTATTGTCAAATAGGCTCCAATCCTTCAGCTTTACACAACATTTGTGCATAAAGAAGAGACGTCAAGCGAGAAAATTTAAACACAAAATATATGCAGAATACACAAGAAATATTATTTATTTTCACTTAAGATAGGTCACACGCCAGTCGTCTTAGGGTCGTATTCCAGAACTCTACTCAATGCTCAAGTCAGGATGTGAGCAGACTTGAGTATGATTTCAAGCACTGGAAATACGACCCTAATAGCAAGGACTTGAGTATGATTTTCAGTGCTTTAAATCGTACTCAAATCCTCACTTGAGCATTGAGTAGAATTCTGGAATACGATGACCCTTAGAGTGAAAACCTCGTATGTGTTTCACATATACTTTGTTCGTAGTTAGTATTTTAATTACCTAAATTATATCACTTTCAGATGCTATATTACTTTAATAATATGTTCAATCTAAAAAAAAAACTGTAAAAATGCGTAACTGAAGTTTCCAATCGAATGGCGCACGCTTTACGCCGGGGACTGCTGCATTCGGCAGACCCTATCGCCCTGCCGCAGTCGACTCACTGTTCGCACAGAGTCGTCTGACGCCTTCGCTTACAAAGTCCTTATCGCGCTGAAGCGCGGCCGCGGACTCATTGAAACCTGTTCAGTTGACTGTTGCATTCCGAAGGCGACCGTGTCGCCTTTAGCGTTTACATCTAGTCGCTTCGGTCGACTTCAGCTGCGAACTACGGTCATCAGACGAATCAGTATTTGCACCGGGTAGCTTGCCGCCTTCGGCGGGCAAGTGGCGTTCGCCTGTCATCTTGGTGTAAATGCTTCATACCGCGGCGATTATATTTATATGAGCATATGTAAATGAGGCCGATATAATCAGGTATCATAGTTGGAAATGATTACTTTATATTTAATCTGACCATTTCAATGTGTCTCTATCTACTGAGCCGAGAGATAGGGAGTTTCGGGGAGACTACGGGCTCCCCGGTAAGACCAGGGTACGGCGGGCGTCCGGGTCGATCCCTCCGCTACGCCTTCACGGGCGTCTCTGGCGGACCGGGACTTGGGTATGGTTTCACCGGGGTTTGTGGTTAGCTGTAGGGATGAACACGTTCGTCTGCCCGGTGGTGTGTGGCCGGGGCGTTCGTCTCACGCGCAGTGAGTCTTAGTAGCAGTCTAGATGAGGGCCTGAGGCGAGGAGACTGGGAACTGGAGAGACGCCGTTTCGGCGTCGGGAAGTGAGCGTGCCTTACAGCTCCGCCACCAAATAGGAGATTTGGTAGTAGACTTAGTCAACGGCTTAGCAGTGGTAACCGTTATTTGCGCAATGCGCAACGAGAAGGGAGTGTGCTTACATCTCCGGTACCTATCTGGAAAATAGGGAGGATATTGTACGTGCACGCGAGGCAGCTCACCCATGGCACTAACCTTTTGAGAACCGGATGAATTCCGTGCAAGCAGGCTGATCTGGGACCAGAACCTGCCTGAGTAGGTTCCTGTGCGGGCTTGCTTGTACAGGTTATAGTGCTCTTCCAGTTTATGATAGGGACTACAAACTTATGTAGAAAAGACATGGGTCTGTCCAATTCGTTAATCTACATATTCCAATACTGTTACATTTTAATTCTATTTTCATTTCTCTAATATTTTCTTGGATTAAACTTCTCCAGCTCAACGTCTCTTCTATCACAAATCCGCACTGTCACTTTAAAAGTAAATAAAAAACAGCATTTATTTTAACGTCTTATTAAGTAATCGAACAAACACAAGGAAAAATGCCTGTTATCCGACTGAATTCGAACCAGCGTCTGTCGCCTCAACGTGGCTCTATAGGCGTTGAGGCCACAGACGCTGATTTAAATCCAGTCAGATCGAAGGAATTTTTCTTAGTGTTTGTTCTATTATCAATAATAGTAACAAATTAGTGGAGTATTTTCACAAAAAATAGATGAATATCTATATATAGTTTTAAAATCTATATAGATGGATTTCGTCTGTTTAAAGGTAAAACCACATAAGTGACATTTCTACAAAAAGACTATATAGCTATGGTAAGAAAATCACTATCTTTCTGCAGGTGAAACTCAATAACAAAAAAGCAATAAACTCAATAAGTGGCTTTATCGGGTGATTTTCTTACAACAGGTACATATATTGGAGATTTTTTGTGGATTTGTGGAATACCACTTATGTGGTTTTACCTTTAAGCAGACGATATCATGATAGTAAAAACATGATATTTAATAAAAATATTCACAAGGGAATATCCTTATAACATATCTCTATATTCCAGCGCTTATTCGCGGAGAACAAAGAGAAGTTGATAACAGGCGCGGTGACAGCGATAATGAGTAGTGCTCCGGCCGGCAACACCCTGCCGCCGCGGGAGCTTGAAGCTCAGTTCCACGCGTTGCGGAGATTGTGTGCTAGTAAAGTTGGTTTTGCTGCCTTCACTGCTCTACCCGGGTAAGTTCTTTAGATCACGCGTTTGCTAATGACATGGTAACATTTAACGAAGCGTAGCGAGCGAAACTTTCTTGGCATTCACTGACATTGAGCTTTCTGTAAACGGAATGACTCAGCTGTTTGTCAAACGACGAACCAATAACTGTACAGTTGTCAAAAAAATTTCGAGTTTCGAATTGTAATCAGAGTTATTTGAGGTAAAAAGTTAAGTCTTAGGGGAAAATATTGAATACTAAAATTAAGCGCCTTTATCTTTTGTACTGGCCTATGAAAAAAGGAACATAACAAAAAAAAAATAAGACAGCTGCTATTTTTATTTGACAATAAAACAAATATGCCAAATTTTTACTACAGAGCGTTTTATAGAGAATGAAGCTCTTAATTATTAATTAGGTATAAATCGCAATACCTATATAAGCGATTGCATCGATGCAAACGCTGGACTGCATCGATACAAACGCGTGATTGCATCGATACGAACGCGCGATTACATCAATGCAATCGCTTATGAATCACATGTAGCGATGTCATCACGCGTTTGTATCGATACTTAAAGTCGCGCGTGTGTAAAGGTAGACAATTAGCTACTGCATCGTGTTTGCATCGCGTTTGCATCGCTGCTAAAAGTTGCCATGGGTAACCGCTCTTAAGGTCAAATAATGTTAAATAAAAAGTAAACGACGCTAAAATATCTTTACCATTGTGTGATTTTTAGCATACTAAAGCAATATTTGTAAAAACACCAATAAATACAAAATATGAACCTACAAATATAATTGTGAGACAACTACTAACATACCTTCTGTATCGTCATAAATCTTATTCTTAAGCCAGGGATTGACGGGTTGCGTATGTATTACGGGTATGTTTATACGGGATAGTGGGTTAATGACGATTCATTAGGGAATTTCATAATTTTCAATACAGTTTCCGCGAATGGATCGGCACAGCCGTGGTAAGCGCCCTGCGGCGCGGCTCGGCGGCATGTTCGCATGCAGCGTTAGACGCTGTGTGTGCGCTCATGCAGCCCATGCATCAAGACCCTGACCTTAGACAGGAGCAGCTTAACAAGGCTAGCATGTTATCGTCGGCAACTTTTTTGGAAGGACTGCTTACTATGTGGGCTGATCATGTGGTGAGTTTAAGATATATTTAATGAGACGTAAATTATGTACCTAACACAGCCGTAACTGTACCTTCGAGAAGCGGTAATAACCGGATAACTCGTGGAAACTTGTTAGATTATCAATTCAGTGTTTGTACCACTTACCCTTTTAGAATCATATAGGGTGCAATTTACATGTCGCACTTAAGATGAAATAGACTTGACTGCAAAAAGTGTGAAAATGATTTAACAATGAAATTTATATACAACAACAGAAGCACATCATGCGTTCCTTCATTTTTCCACAAAGGGGGCAATACTTATTATAGTATAGGTACATTTAATTTAACTGAACATCTGTTGACCTTCTTGGAGAAGGCGTTTTGTCTAAAAGGTGTCATGGACCAAAGTTTCCGATGCCGGTTGCCGGAAATCCGCGTTGCGTCATATGTTCAGGCCATGTGTAAATAAATAATTAGTGTTTTATTATATTATTATGTCTGTATTTATGGGTCTGTGTAACATGAGAATAAATAAATAAATAATCAATAAATTTAAGGGCATTTCAAGTGTATTCAATAGCCCTATAACTAAACTTTTAGTCTTAAGTCACTGTTTCGTTGGAGGCTATAATCAACCGCTGTAACGATGCAAACATCGATATGAAACCTTGATAAATGTTTTGTCCTTAATAAAGTTCGAGTAATTTAAATATTTTGTTTAGACGGCGGGTAGCGGTGCGCTAGTTGTCGCGGCCATGTTGGATTTTCTAACATTCGCTCTATGCGTGCCGTATAGTGAAACTACAGACGGAAAACAATTTGACCAGCTTTTAGAGATGGTCTCTAATAAAGGAAGAGTTTTGTTCAAGTTATTTGAGGTGAGCCAATATAAATTTCTGTTATATTTCCATATTTCTGGTTATTGAACTGACGTGTGCGAAAATTTGAGCTTTATGTCGATCGAATATTTTTGCATATTGAGGTGTTTTTTCGTTAAAGTTGCCAACCGGCCGAAACACGGCTGCACCATTTTGTTGTACCCTGTATAATTTATTACAGTGGTCTAAATTGTAATGTAACTTATTCAAGTAGGATTTTTTTTTTGCTATAAGTAAATAATTTCACTTATTACTTTTACCATTACAATAATCACAATATATATCTGATCCTTTCTTTGAAAGTTGTATGGTTTTATGTCCTACAATTATTTTTTCCGCGTTCGGTTTCCTCGTCTTGCGTTGGCACAAGTCGTGAAATGTCAATTTGAAAAAAAAAATTGAAATTTGTGATTGCGACAAATTAACAGTGACCTCTGGATCATTTTTTCTCATCTTATTTTTTCCTTTGATGATTGGTGTTATATACACATCATCAGCGTCATCATGTTTCTGTCAACAGCACCAATCCATGGCAATAGTAAAAGGGGCGGGTTTAGTAATGCGAGCCCTAGTCGAAGAAGGCGGCGGCGGCGTGGGAACTCGCATGCAAGCTCTCGCGTTAGCAGAAGCAGCATTGCCCAGACATTTGCTCACAGCATTGTACGCCCCAGCGAGATTGCATCACAGGCATTTGGCGAGGCATCTCGTTGCCTTGTGGTTGGTCGATCACGCGCCCGCTCATAATCTGCTCAAGAGAATTATGGTAAGAGATACCTTAAGTATTATTTTTATCGTCCCTTACCATACTATCGGACGTAACTTACATTTTAAGTGGAAATGATGTTCGGAATCGAACCATCAAAATGACTTTTTCCGGTATTAATTTTATTGTGTATAATGATGTTATTACTACCACCACCAAATAAGAGGCCAAATTTGACACTTGTCATCGTGACGCAAATAGGGGTGTGGACTAATGATATCGGTTATCACATTATATAATTTTCACGAGTATACGATTCAAAATTGTAAGAGTTTGTGATTGTTTAGATTACTTTTCGGTACATTGTTGTTCAGGGGGCCTAAAAGGCTAAATCGTGCAATTCTGTTAAAAGCAGTTCATTTACAGAATTCCTTGCAATTCTGTAGCAGTTCCTCTTATTTTCGTAAAATTGTCCCACATTCCGATGAATTGTATCCATTTCTTTTAATTTTGATTTTATAATATTCATAAATGGTTTATTACGAGAATTTAGTGTAAATTAGTGTGTTCATCGATAAAACAACTATATAAAAAAATTAAATTACCAAGACATTTTCAATTCAAAGGAAATACAAATCTAGCTGAGTACGGGGCTCTTTTAAATTTGATAAATTATGAATTTATTAGTAATCGGTGTGGTCAGAGATGTAATATACATAATTATTTAAAATATACCTATTTTTATACATTTTTGTGACTCGATGAAATTCGGCGATTAATTGCTTACAACACTATTAATAAAAAAAAGTACCTCGAGGACGTAACTGTTTTCAGGACGTTTCGGGGTGACTCAAAATTGCATTTTATTTTGGAATTCGTGCGAAAACAGCACTTCAAATATGTTTTGTTATATTATATAATGTTTCAATCAAATTTATGTATTTTATTTAAACTCAATTATGCTAATAATTGTTTGTTTATTACAAATAACGCACACACTCAACATAGCCCCGCACTAGGGAAACCCTGTGTCGCGGGTGCCATGGACACACACATAGGCAACCACAAATTACACCCAAACTCACGAGAGAAATAAATGTAAGCCATACAAACATTTCTCCCGGCCCGGGAATCGAACCTGGGACCTCTGCGTGACAGTCCGGCCACGGAGGCAGTTAAGTGTTTCGTTGATCGCATTCAAAGTTACAACCTATCGCCTTCGTTAGCTGTCAAATTTGGCTTTTTATTTGGTGATGACTATAATATAATCACCCATTAAGGTGCACCGAAAGATTCCCAATAACAATGGTAATAATAAGTCCCTAACCCCTCTCGACGTTTTTCAATGGAACGTTAGTAATGTATATTGTGTTTACTATTAGAATAAGAGCTATAATAGTCTGTCTTATTTTGAAGACGGAGTAAAATGAGAGTTGATTGCGTAAAAGTGTTGCCCGCTTGCGAGCAGCTAGTGATTGTAGTCGATAAATATCCTATCGACTATTGACTGAATATTTATCACGCTTATGGAATAAATAGCCGAACTTGATTCATTCGAATCATCTTAGACTCATTATTCATTCAGTTACTGCGCACAAGTTCATTTGAATTGTCAATTTTTGTAAGTACGTACATACACTGTATTTAGAACTATGCTTAAAACACAAAGGGGAGACATATTTAAAAGTTTTTCATTTTAATTCAATATAGATAACCAAATCGGGCTATTCTTGTTAAAATGTATATGAATAAAAAATGATCTCGATACTAGTAGGCCAAATGTCAAAATAAGAATAAAGAAGGCAATAACGCAATTAGTTATCATTAGAACGTCGTAACATTTACAATTCAGTCATTTTTGGCAACATTTTGTCTTCCTTCACAATCTATCGATAAAACTATCGACTAGAACTACATAACTATTTAAAACTTCATAAAAACTGGCAACCCTACAAATGTCATTTTACGACAGACTATACAGAGTGTGCTGTATATTTAAGGAGCTTGTTATATGTGTGTATTTTGTATGTTTTAAATTGTGAACCAAAAATAAATAAAATAAAATAAACATACAAAAGCTTGAAGTAAATATACATAAATGTAAATAAGTTAGAAGGCAAGAGTTAGGAACATGCGGCTTCCGAGCATACGCTGCTTTTCCATCAACAGATAGACAAACCAACTATTGTTATTATTTATATTTCACAGCCGTCCGGTCTTCTAGCATTCCTAGAGTCGATGGAAGCTCCTCCGGCGCAAGCGTTAGAAGACGAGAAAGTCGAAGAACGAGACAATCTGTCGTTAGCTCAGGCCGCGGTAAAACCCCGCGCCGCTCACTGGGAAGCATTGGAAAGACAGGTCAAATATGTCGAGAAGCATCTTGAAGTGAGTATTTTGAATTGTTTTTTACGTACTCGTCTGTGATAAGTAGCGATCGGAATAACCATCATGTACTTAAATTCCAAGGAAGTACTAAATAAGGAAGACACGTAGTGTGGATAGTACCTCCCCCTGAATGCCTGGAATTGTTGTGTTTCGGTTTTTTTATGTGTTTCTAGCAATTACTATGGTAGTGTATTTAGAAGGACGTTTTGTGACAATAAATAAAAATATGCCTATTTTGTTTGGATTTTTTAAATCCCTTTGGGCTTTTATTGGGAGGTATTGTCCATTCTGTGTATTGCTTACAGTGTATGCAAATATAATAACACCAATTGTCTGGTTTCAAACTAGGGAATTCCCTGTATTCTGAGTACCAGAGCAGCGGAATTAACTCCGGGGCACTACCCAGAACACCTAGACTAGAATCAATTACAAAAGTGTTTTTCATATTTGTCCTACTGGAAATCGAATATGGTACCTCCTCATCTAGCGTCCACAGTGCAAACTGGTGAGCCAGTATGTATATGCTATGCCTGTTCGCATCCCTGGTGATATACCAGAAAGAACTTACCGTTCCATTTGAAGTTTTACGTTCGCGATTTCATTGTTGACTTTTGTATTATTATTATTTCATTGTAATATATTAATCGATATTATTTATTCACCATTGTAATGAAATGTTTACTTTTACTGTAATATTAATAATTAATAAAAATATGTTACAATTAATAAAGTTATTATACAGGGCTATTTGTAAATTATAAAACAACAAATTTTGTTTCACGACTTGTTACAAAATATTAAATTTACCAAAAATAAACCTTTAAAATTTAAACTTGCACTTTTTGGATGTACCTGGTAGTAGAGTAGTAATAAAGTAATAATAATGCACACACTCTTAGCCCCGCACTAGGGAAACCCTTGTATCGCGGGTGCCATGGGCACACACATAGACAACCACAAATTACATCCAAAGTCACGAGAGAAATAAAATATGTAGGCCATACAATTATTTCAATTTTTATTGAATTGATATTCAATTATTTTTATGTGAAATTACTCCACTAGTTTGTTATAATTATTAATACATAGATCGAACACTCAGAAAAAAATCATTCGATCCGGACGGATTCGAAGCTACGTCCTCCAGCGTACCGTGCCAGACGCTATACCACCTAAGCACGCTGAGTTGCAGTTCGAAGTAGCAGTTAGTTGCAGTAGTAGCGGTTCGAATCCGGCCGGATCGAATGATTTTTTTCTGAGTGTTCGATCTTTGTATTAATAATCATATAATTATTTCTCCCGGCCGTGAAATCCCGGGTTCGGCCATGAAGGCAGTTCAAATGTGAAAGCTTTTATTGTATTAGCTCATAGAGTTATCACAGTTTAGAGCAACTTATTTCATTATTTTTATTTTTGTTCGAAACCAAAATCTAATGAACTATTAAAAGTCACGGAACACAGGTTACTGTTTATGATATAAGTAATATATTCCTGCGAAGTTGTTAGTATTAAAAAATACCTCTGAATATCAGACAACAATTTTGACCGATCATACCATCCTCCAGCACTACGCTCAACTAGCTCTCCAGCACTGGGCACAACGGTCCGGTCGCACATTAACGACGGAGCGACAAAACGCAGCGCGAGAAAGACCCGTACTCCTTCGCAGGAGGCGCGAGAGAATCAAGTCTACTGCGAACTGGCCGCTGTTTTATTACCAGTTCCATAAAGACCACGCATTGCCGAATCTTATTTGGAATCATACTGTGAGTTTTTAACGTTGGATAAAATATAATTAGCTTTCGTCGCCGCTAATGGTATCTAGTGAGAGATTTTGCAACCTTTCCACTGCTGCCGGTTTGCAGGTGCCTTAACTGACGTAGATGTCGCTTTTTGATCAAATGCATTATTGAGATTTTTTTGTGAAATAACGGCACTAATTTTGTTGTGATTATTAAATATTTCTTTTAAAGAGAATCCACTTTCACGAGCTCTTTATATCCACAGACTCGAGAGGAACTCCGGAACGCTCTAGAGAACGAACTCCGTACATTCGCCTCTGACAGAGAAGTTGCCGGCAATACACTGACGTCATGGAACCACGCCGAGTTAGAAGTCCACTATCAGTGCTTACAGAACGAAGTAAAAATCGGTGACTACTACTTGAGGATATTGTTGGAGCAGCGGGACAATGATGACAGCCCTATAAGGAAATCGTACGTTAACAATTACCAATAAATAGAGTACAATTATTTTCTTAATAACTCTCGGCTTTCTTCATGTTTCGGCTGTCGTCGGATTTTTCTTAATTGCCCTTTGCACGTGATACTGATCGGACGCATTCAATCGACTTGGCGGTTTATAGAGAAGCTACTGCTCTTATTTTGGTTATACCTTTTTGAAGGTCAGGTAATGACAATTAAAGATCGAACACAGCGAAAAATCATAGTTTTTTTTAATGGTATGCAAAATTCTCAAAATGTTTATTTTTTATTTATGATATGCCATATTAAATAATGAATTATTAAAGCTTAAAACACACACTTAATGCAACATCACAGCATGCAATGGCAACGACGCGACGTAAGATAGAATTTTTAAAATTTATAACGAAACGAAAGGAATTTCATTTGTATCTATACGAAGAAACACATAACTTGTAAATCTTTGTATAATATAAATGTTATTTATAATTATTAATTAAGCGTTTGAAATTGTTGATTGATGAAAATAAATCATATGAACCAAATGTCTTTTTGCAGTTATGAATTCTTCAACGATCTGTATCACCGTTTTCTATCGACACCAAAAGTGGAGATGAAATGTATGTGCCTGCAGGCAATGAGCATTGTTTACGGTCGGTACTTTGAGGACATTGGACCGTTCGCTGACACCAAATACATTGTTCAGATGTTGGATCGGGTATGCTTCTTTTTACTTTTTCGCGGTTTTTTTTTTGTTTTACGGTATAATATGGTGTGATGACTCTCAAAGTAGTCTGTGTCGACCCCTAGGGATCCACTCTATTCACAAGGGATCCATAAAAATATAGGGTGCATTATGAGACGTTAATGGGGGTCGATAAGAATGGAATCCATTTAGGCAGGTTGTGAGCAATTTTTTTGGTTTTAAATAAATGGAATTATCACACAGATTAGTACCTATGTAAATACATAATATTTTCTTATTATTATACTTATAAATTACATTTCACAAGAAACAAGATATTCGGTTCGATAAATGTATAAAACTTAACGTCAATTTTTTTATAAAATTCCCCATTAATATTGTGTTAGCTGTCAAACACATTTATGAAGTGGATGAATTTTTTGAAAAAAAACAATATTAGAAAGTCTGGGGTTACGTGGTTTATCAGACAAAGTCGCTGACTATGGACTATTGCCTAAGTCGCACCATCACACATATTCCAATGCGGGACTTGACTTCATTACCTTACACGCATCCACTACTGGACATGAGCCTCCCCTTGAGCTCGCCAATTCTCTCTGCTGGCCACCTTTCTCTGGTTGTCCATCTATCTTGCCTCATTGCGTCCTACACTACATTTTCCTTGACGTGGTCGCCATTTAAGAACACACTTCATACGTTTTCAGTATTTTATGTACCGGATTCAGCTAGTTAGTACTAACAAGCTGGTGGTTTTTTGCAGACTTGCGACAGAATGGAAAGAGACAGACTGGTACAGTTTTTATCAAAATTGATTTTACATAGAAGAAATGTCAGCGAGATTTTGGAATGGAATGGTATCAGGTAAGTGCAAGAATTTTGAGCTCTTTTAATGTGCTGTGGTCTCAAACTAGTGAACTCCCTGTGTTATTGAGTATCAGAGTAACAGAATTCATTCCGGGGAAGTATACCCAGACCAGAATCAGAATAAAGGAATTCCAAATGTTTCTTGAAGTACAGCATTAAGATAATGCTTTAGTTCTCTCTTTTGTGTGGGATAGATATAAAATTTATAAAAATAGAAAGATATAGATAATTGTTGTTCATGTTCTTGGTAATTTTATATTTTTGTTTTCTTTGTTTTAGATTAAGTCAATGTTTTTAAGTTTTTTCACATTCTTTTGGCAAGCAGTGTTCACTAATGATTAGTTGTTCAAGTTAAGATCGTATGCACAGTTAGTAATAACACAATATGTCATCTTTTAATAATAACACAATCGCTTTTTCTTTAAGGATTCTCGTAGACCTAATGACTCTCGCGCACTTGCACACTTCACGAGCCACTGTACCGGCGCAGAGTAACGTGATCGAAGGGCCGGCGCAGCAGGGCGGTGGCGACCGCGAGTGGTACTACAATGTTGAGCAGGGCGACAAGGTCCAGCGGAAAGGACCTGTTAGTTTTCAACAGGTAATAATGACATAGGACCTGTGGTCGTCCATAAACGTAATATCGCCAAATTCATGCAATGTTTTCTGGTCTGGTCGATTATTTTATTTTTTGTTTAGGTCTAATTGAAAAAATATGTAAATAAATATTGCAAATAATAAAGCGACATCTGTTGTCAGCCGCTGGTAGCTGTACAAGTGCCTGGCTGAGTGAAGAAAAAACTTACCGGGTGGATCGAGGTTGATTTTGCATTTTTGCAAACTTCGTAAACTTTCGTTTTATAATTGATAATAATCAACAACAGAAAAGTTTTTTTTATTTATATAGTTCCATTTAATCAATGTTAAACTGTTACAATTTCTAAATTGCCAGCTGTTTCTGCTTTTGTCACAAAATAAAAAAAATATATAAAAATTAGTTTGATTTCGATGTTTTTCAAAATAAAGGTTAGGTAAGAGTAACTAGATGTTATAAGATATTAAGTCTATTCCTACTTAATGTCTTTAGAAATGAGAATGCATAAAACTCGGTCCGCAAGATTTATTGTAGGAGATGATAAGAGGATAATTATAACTTTTTTTTTTATAAAAAACCGACCTCAAAAGTTCGTGGAATTACATCTACTTGCCGTGTTTTATTGAAAATATAAATATTAAATTTTTCAGGATGATAAAAATATAGTAAACGCAATAATGTTTGTAGTTAAGTTAACATTTTAATAAGTGACATTGTACCTCTTTCAGATTATAATATGTTTAAGCAAGAGGATTATAAGTTTTGGTCTAACAAAAATCAGTAAAATCAAAGTACTCAAATCGGTCGGAAAGTGCGCGAAACCGGATTCATCCCCTAGTTTGCCACCCTTAGAGGTGGAATATTTTCTTCAAATTTAATATGATCTCTCTCTCATCTCTTTCCAACAAAAAACAATCATCAAAATCGGCTAACAAGGGACCGAAACGTTTCGAAAAAAACAAATGTACACGATTTATATCTGAAAAAATAGTTTAATTTCCTTTTAAGATATCATAAACGACAATTTTTATGCCATGATTTTTAATACTTCATCAAATTTAATTTCGTACAAAAGTAAAGGAATTTAAATATGTTTTTTTATTATACCACGTGATCTGAGGGGCACTCTTACTGCGCCCGTAACCCTTAGACCATCAACTATATAACCAGAAATAGAGACGAACTAAGGGCCATCCATCCCTTCTTTTTTTTTTTTGACGGGGGGATATCTTCATGGATACCCCTGAGCCCAGGGAGACTCAGGGGTTATGTGGGGACTGTCCCTCCAGACTGGAGGGCCTACCCCACTAAAACCCCCCCGGGTTTCCCTCTCGCCGGTTGAGTCGGCGCCGTGGGATCAGTGAACATTCACCACGACAGGGCCATCCCTGGCAATTCATCAGGCAAATGGGCCTTATAATACTTTTAAATATCAACTCTTTTTTCCGCTGAAATCGCAAATTAGAAAGCTGAAATAGTGCTGCACCAACAACTGACATTTATTTACGTCTACGTATATTTCAAAAATATTCTGTATTTATTGTAATAAAGATAGTATCTCTAGCAATTGGGGGCTGTTCCATTCGGTAGTGGGGGAAAAACAGCAAACAATCTAATTACGAAAGAAATGAATTATGTAATTTTTCAATTTTCGTCCATTACAGCAAAGCTCAAGTTAAACTGGTCGTTTTGAAGTGAAAGAATTGACGACACCCGTCAATTGTTTCGAATTCGGGCTGGGCAATCGGAGCGCAGTTGTCACCGTAATGATTTGGCAGAATTGTTCTCAAACAAATTAAATGACATTTCGTCTCTATTTCTGGTTATATACTTGATGCCTTAGACATAACTTGGCAAGTCCCACATGATGTTAGTGTTATAGTTCTGCCAGATTGTTAATATTTTACAAATAACCCTTTAGATTTACTGCCTAGTCTACTTTGATATTCATACTTGTTACTCAATGAAATCTTGTTAATTACAGCTCAAAGACCTATACAAAGCGGGTGAAATAAACAATAAGACAAAATGCTGGGCGAACAGTATGGAAGGCTGGCGAGCAGTGGCGAGTATACCGCAATTGAAATGGACTCTGGTGGCGCGGGGCTCTGCGGTATTAGATGAAAGCGCTCTCGCTGCTACAGTGTTGGAATTGCTTATCACTTGTGCAAAATACTACCCTAGCAGGTACTGTTACATTATTTCTTCGTTTTTAAAAATCGTTCGATCTCAAACGTAAGTGGTCCATGCGTGGTGAATAATAATAATAATAATGATAAATCTTTATTATTGACCAAGAAAGGATTACATTAATTTGCATTTACACTATGTTACAATTCTGTTATACCAATGATCTCTCGCGGTCTCTGCACTAAGTATATACTTGTATCGCAGAGACTACATACTTATAATTCCGTTACTTATTTGTCTAGTTAATCGTAAGTTGTCATGTTTTCTATTTGTCTTCTAGAGATGAAGAAGACGCAGTAATAAGACCACTGCCAAAGGTCAAGAGATTGCTCTCTGAACCCGCGTGCTTGGCGCATGTAGTTCAATTACTACTTACATTTGATCCTATCCTCGTTGAAAAGGTAAGATTTTGCCAACAAATTATGTAAATATCAATCGATTTTATTTTCTATCTGAACTTACATGGTGTGACGGGAAGGGTACATTAATGATAAAAAGGAATAAATGCTGTATTTGATGTTGATCGTCTTAATTTCAGGTCTAAAATAAGCTACGATAACGTTTAATTTTTAATAATTAAGAATTTATTAACTGTAATTAACTCATGTGTCACAGTCCTACAACTTCATTATCATTTAATATCCGCGCTACTGTGCGCCTAGTACACGATTAGTACGCGCCAAGATAAGAAGCTTACTAATTTTATGCTTATACATACCATAGTTGTTTCAAAGTTTGTGCGGCGAATGTCAAACGAAATGTAACCTATTAATATTAGTAACCCATTGAAAGTTCTATTCCCTAGTGTAAAGAGCCATTGCATTATTATATTTACATTTTTTTTAACACATACACTCATAGCCCTGCACTAGGGAAACCATGAATCGCGGGTGTCATGGACACATATATAGGTAGATAACCTCAAATTACACCCAAACTCAGGAGAGAAATTAATGTAGGCCGAATACAAATATTTCCCCCGACCCGGGAATCGAACCCGAGAACTCTGCGTGGCAGTCCAGGATGGTAACCGTTCGGCCACTGAGGCAGTTTACATTTAGACATTAGATGTGAGTTGACAAGTTCTATTATTAATATTGCGTATTCTGGTCATTCGTCGGCTGCTCATGGGTGCAAAATGATAAGGGTGCTGACTGAATAGTCCAGGGCGGCTATCTCAAAGTCAATGTTTTGGATTTCCGACCTATCAAACTACGAACTACTAGCATCAATTGTTTTGAAACGGAGAATTTTTTCACAATATTACAATTTCACTTACACGAAAATCACAAACTATTAACAAGACGTCGAATTTCACATTACAACAGATAGAGTTCAAATGAAAGGTCAAAGAATATGTAACAAACTTTTGCCATTGAACCAAGAATATAGCGAGAGGCGATCCAGGAGAAATACGGGTTGTGTCTTCACAACGGCCAAAGTTTAAAACGAACACATTCTCCTAATTCGTCAAATGCTCTAATCAATACAATTTGTTAACAGGTGGCAACCCTACTATACGAGGTAATGCAAGACAACCCTGAAATCTCGAAGTTGTATCTGACGGGTGTGTTTTACTTTATGCTACTCTACACTGGGTCCAACCTTTTGCCGATCGCGCGGTTCCTCCGCTTGACACATATGAAACAGGCCTTTAGAGCGGATCAGGTAAATATCTTAAAAATATCTTTTAATAAAAAAATGGTTAAGACAGCATGGCACCTTAGCTAGTTACAATTATTATAGGGCTTACAGACTCAAGAACGAACACACGGTGCTGTTCACATTCAGGATATGTTTGTAAAATGAAAAATGTCAAAAATGACATTTTTGAAGACGGAGTAAAAACTTCGTCTTCAAAAAAGACAGAAAATAAAACGAAGTATTTGGTAATTTAATGATTATTATCACTAATGACCGGTAATTCCTTACATATCGGAAAATGGAAAGAAACCATACCGGTAAAAATACCTGTAATTAGATTAAAATCATTTAGTGAATAAACACGAGACTTAAAATCTACATGAGGTATTATTGCATTTTTGTATTTCATTGTATTTTAGTGTATGGTATATAATTTTTGTCTCTCTACATTTTAGTCGAGTTCAGACATAATGCAAAGGTCAATATTGGGTCAGCTTTTGCCTGAAGCGATGGTGTGTTATCTGGAGAACCACGGTTCGGAGAAGTTCGCTCAGATATTCCTCGGCGAGTGGGACACACCAGAGGCTATATGGAACTCGGAAATGAGGTAATTCTTATTGTTATTTTTATGTCTGTTTTGGAACCGTTATACATTCTAATAAACAGTGCAATTGTCTGTCAAGCTGTTATTTTACAATTTTAAAACTAACATTGAACTTAATGCTTTGATTTGACAGTGATCTTATTTAGGGACCAATTTAATAGTGATTTAGGGAAGTTTAGTGAAAAATTATACCTAGGTTTGTATGTGAAATTCCTGGCCAAAGTGATGGAAAAGTCTAGTATTTTTTAAATCAGATCTGTGATTAATAGTAAAACGTATTTGGGTTTCTTCAGTGTTGTCATAAAAGGAGCAGTGGTAGCACAGTGGGAAAGCGGTTGCTTCTCAATTGCGAGTTCGACGGTTCGAATCCCTATGACTTCAATTTCTATGTCACGTACATCTGAAAGTTTGGCTTTATTCCCGGCATAAATTTGTTTGTTAAATTGAAATATTTTGTAGCACTGATAAGTTCATAGAGTTTTTGTTTCTCATTGTTACTATTTTTTCGCAGAGGGATATTATTAGTATTAAAGGGTAGGATAGGGTTTACCTACGGGTAAGTAAGTAAGGGTTTTACCTAGTTTGAACATCAGTCTTCTACAACAAAAGTGTAGTTGCAGTGCCATTCAGAGTATTAAATCCCAACGATATGAGGGGCATTGCCTCTGCGTACGTCACACTGAGATATAAGTTGCCAAGTCCTACGTGCCTGTAATTTCATCAGCGTTCTTACCTTTCAAAACCGGAACGCAGTAATTCTCACATTACGGCTTGGCGGCAGAAATAGGTAGGATAATTACGAAGCGCTATATTGAAGCTATATACCTATATGTCTATAGTACACATTCATTTCCTAAAGGTAGAAAATGAAGAAAAAAAGGCTATAAACAACATCCACACATCCTGATGATACCTGCACATCGAAAACGGTTCACAACCGTTGGAAGACGTGTGAAGCCTCAATCTTCATTGTGCGAGTATGGTGGACATAAGGCATAAACCCACTCGTTATAGGAGGCCCCGTGGTCAACTGTGGAATGTATAATGCATTAACGGTGATGAGTACTTTTGTTTCAGGCGCATGCTGATAATGAAAGTGTCTGCCCACATAGGCGAGTTCACGCCTCGCTTGCGCGCGCATATCGCCGCCCGTTACCCGTACCTCGCGATCCCTTGTGTTCAGTACCCGCAACTGGAAAGGGAGCTCTTCTGCAGCATGTTCTATCTGAGGCATTTGTGCGATACGCAGCGGTTCCCCGATTGGCCTATTCCCGATCCTGTAAGTATAGCTTTTCACTCGACTAATCTGTCTACGTACATATGGCTACGGACATAGCTTAATGATTTGGACTGTTCTACATATCGACCCCTCCTACGTAAAGTATCGTATGTCGAAATTGCCAAGTTTACAGGGGAACGTTTTAAAGTTCTGAATTCACTGAAATAAGCATAACACGTGAATTTAGCATTTCTCAGTTTTATTCGAGAACGAGTTTTAAAGTAACGAGATTTGTCGAATAAAACTGAGAAATGCTAAAGTCACGTGTTATGCCCATTTCAGTGAATTCAAAACTTTAAAACGCTCCCCTGTAAACTTGGCGACTTCGACATACGATATGTTACGTAGGAGGGGTCGATATAGGCTCTATTTATTAGATAAGTGAATTGTCAAATTATTATTTATTAGTTAGATTGTCAATTAAAGTGGCATAACGCAAGCGTTCATGTTAATAAATCCATCTCAAATGCTGGTTCAATATTAAGAGTGGTTACACACGGCGACATTTAGCGATGCAAACGCGCCGGGTAATCGAACCCGGGACATCTGCGTGGCAGTCCAGCATGGTAACCGTCGGCCGCGTGCCTGAGAAAATACAAGAGTTCTCTATTGACAAACATAATTTGGTGCACATCGACGATTACTCATTGATCATTTGAGAGAGTTGTCAAAAATTCGCTTATTTCTAAACGTGACTTAATAAAACTCAAAATCGTTATTTAGTCTCATTCTCAAATATAGCTATGTTCAGGTCACTTGAGATGGTATCATCTAATATGCCGATTATTTTAGTCTTTAGGTGAGATTGTGCTTTTCGTGTGATATGTGTGACATATCAGCCGGCAGGCTCTTTAATATTTGACTTAAGAGCTCTTTATTAATACTTGTTTAAATATACATTTAAAGTTCTTAGGTTTTCGCGATTGATGCACATAGGAAGTGAAACTATTTTTCCGGATTTAAACCAAACGTTTCTGGCCCTTGGAACCTGTAAAGACCCGTAAAGGTTAAGTTTTAAAATTGTATTTAAAACGGGACGTAAATATTTTAAACAATCGCGAAAAACTAAAACATGCTCCTCTGAAAAATTTTTCGTAATGGCGCTTTAGCCCTTTTTCCAAAACACGACAATTTGTATTTCCTTGTAGGTTCGTCTTCTTAAAAACGTCCTTGAAGCATGGCGCCGCGAAGTGGAAAAGAAGCCTCCATCGATGACAGCAAGCGAAGCGTATGCGGCGTTAGGACTCACTTCGGGACAACATGATGAAGCGGCTGTAAGAAAGGCCTATTATAGGCTGGCGCAGCAGTACCACCCTGATAAGAACCCCGAAGGAAGAGTGAGTGTGCCATTGTTCATTCATATTTTGTTTTATTTGTTGACTTTGTGGGTACCTATTTGTTATAAGTAAGGACCGTGGTGACCTAGTGGAGAGCGTTTGATTCTCATTTGAGAGATGGAACGGTTCGAATCCCTGTGGCTGCATTTTTTATTATAATGTCAAGTGACGGGACGAACAAGTTGTGCGCCTGATGGTTAGCTACACGCCTGTCCATAACAGTTGCAGTGCCACTCAGAGCTTTAAATTGCAAAGATCTGAAGGGCACTGCCACTGCGCCCGTCACCCTGAGACATAAAGTTGAGAAGTCCCATGTGCCTGTAATTTTACCAGTACCCTTACCCTTCTTACTTCCCTGGATGAACTGTTTCACAAAGAGCTCTACTGCTACTATCGCATGTATCTATCACTTTAATATCTTGCTTACGTCCATTTATAAATTACCAAACGGACTGTTGACGCGTGAGTGACGTAATTAATGTCTTTGTCGCACTGGCGCACGTAAGGACAGTTTCCGTTACAACAAGTGAAATTTGAAGCCAATTACAATACATATATATATATATACATACATATAATATAATATAAAAAATTTACATAGTTATACAGTACCTAATTGCTTTCACAGACAACAAAATCTTAACAAAAAAAGTATTGGGAATTATACGAATTATACGTTTTTGTTTGAAAGGGTATAAGCTCTTAATGTTGTTTTATTTTAGGATCGTTTCGAATCTGTAAATCAAGCGTACGAGTTCCTATGCAGCAGAAATGTGTGGACTGGAGACGGACCTAATACGAACAACATTGTGCTCATTCTGCGCACTCAGACAATTCTTTTCCAGAGGTATTCTGACGGTATGTATCAAACCAACACTTTATGATACCTTCAAACAACATGTTAGGGAACACTTCCTCAGCTCCTAACTTTATGTATTTCAATGCAAATGAAACTTTTTCGGATCTAAGTCACATATATTTGTTGTCAAACAAGGCATTGTTTTGGGGTCATTACGTGTCCCATGGTCCACAACACCTGTAAAGAGTTGGTTCGTTTTGGAAAAACAAATACGATCTACATTCCAAAAATACGTAGTTTAATTTCCAATGTGAGCAATCGTAAACGAAATTGAAAACGTAAGAAAGAACTCGACAGTTGTTTGTGTTGTCAATAGTAGGAATTAGTACAAAAATGTCTCGACATTGATTTGGCAGCCCTTATGTACTCGGGAATGGGATGTTGAGGTTTGTGTGAAAAGGATAATAAATAGTGTAAGCGCAGTGTATCGCACGTGAAACCCAGTAATGTCGTTACTAAAATATGGTGCAATTGAGAAAATAGGATTTGAAAGAGTGCTGGTTCGAATCCAGCCGGATCGAATGTACTTTTCTTAGTGTTTCGGTCTTTCTTATAATAATTATAACAATTTCACAAAAAAATAATTGAATATCGTCGCAGTAAAATATCGTTGACTATAATGAAGTTAATAAAAATATATATTGGGAAGTTTTTTTTTATAACATCAAGTGATGGGACGAGCAAGTCGTGCGCCTGAAGGTAAGCTTACCGCCTGTCCATAACAGTTACAGTGCCACTCAGAGATTTAAATTGCGACGATCTGAGGGTCACTACCACTGCGCCCGTCACCCTGAGACATAAGTTGACAAGTCCCATGTGCCTGCAATTTAACCAGCACCCTTGCCCTTCAAAACCGGTACACAGTACTGCTGACATTACTGCTTGGCGGCAGACAGGTGACGTGGCACTACTTCCCTGGACGAACTCTTAAAGGAACTCTGGAAGTTTGAAGAAATTGCTGAATGTATCTTATTGCGAATAACAGGATTATTTTTGTTTACGCGTAATATTTAATTTTCTATTTATAAACAAAAATATATATTTTTGGTTCCATTTAGCAATTTTTTGAATATTTTCAATCGTGTCTTTTCAATTCCACCATTTTGAGTTACGATAGTATTTGACAGATTTTGAGGCATTAACGTAACTGTAATGCCCTAATGTGTGTCCGCAGTGCTAGCCCCGTACAAGTACGCGGGCTACCCCCAGCTGCTGAGCACGGCGCGGCTCGAGGCGGAGGCCGACCAGCTGTTCGCGGAGAGCGATGCGCCGGCGCTGCTGCCCGCCGCCTGCGAGCTGGCGCACGCTACGGTCAAGTGCTCCGCGTTGAACGCCGAGGAACTCAGGCGGGAAGGGGGATTACAGGTTTATATACTTTCAAATATAATACTACGGGATTTAGAATTCTTTTTTTTGAACGTGCTGGAAATATTTGCAATAGTTTCAAAAAAGAACACACAAACTTTTAAATGTGTCTTTAACAAAGAGCTATGTAAACAGACTAAAGAAATACTCTCACTAACTTTAGTGTCCGCAGTTGCGAGAACTAAAAATAATATTTTATCATCCATCGTTGCATAATGAGGGTTCTCAAAGTCGCGTACCGTGTTTAGGCCATGAGGTTTTGGTAATAGATGGCCTAAATAATAGGTACGATATTTTAAGACCTAATTATGTAATGATTGCATACAATACTTCTACTTCGAGTACATAAAATAATGAAACAACCAATATTTAGCGCAACAAGCTGTCATGGCTTGTTAACAAAATAACAAACAAACGCAATTTTTTTTAATAAATTTTTCACCCATTGATTTGGGTAGGCGCATCGAGTATATAACCAGAAATAGAGACGAAATAAGGACCATACATTCCTGGTAACACGTTAGCGATACAGCTCTTATAAATATCAACTCCCGTTTGCACTGAAATATAAATAGGCCAACTACTGACCTGTATGTACGTCTCCGTACATTCCAAAAAATATACTGTATTTATTGTAATAAAAATAATATCTCTAACAATGCCGTGCTGTTTTATTCGGTGGTGTAGGAAAAACAGCAAAACATCTAATTACAAAACAAACGGAATCACATTTCAGCGGTAATTAAATATTAAAGATATAATTTTTCAACTTTCGTCCATTATAACAAAGCTCAAGATAACTGGTCGATTTGAAGTGAAACAGTTGACAACACTCATTGACGACACCCGTCATTTGTTTCGAACTCGGGCTGGCCAATCGGAGCGCAGTTGTCACAGTAATGATATGGCATAATAGTTTTCAAACAAATTAAACGACATTTCGTCTCTATTTCTGGTTATATACTCGATGAGTAGGCGCCACCATACAGCCTGTTCGTATTATATTTAGATGAAAGCCAAACAAATGCTACAAAACAAAAAAACCAAAGAGATAGAATAGAAGTGGCCATTTAACGCTTATATTTTAATCAATTTTTTTTTATAATGCCCGGTTGCAAGACTTTTATTCCAATTTAACCCATCAGGAGGCAGTAGAGCGTTTGAATAGCGTCATATTTGATATTTTAATTAGTTACAACGTTCTTTTTTTGAAACTAATTATAGTTCTGTGTACAGAATTATGTACAGAACTATAATGAATTTTTTCAGTTCAGTAGCGAGTACCATAGACGGTAGAATTTGGTCTATGCTTGGTAGCAATACTCGCTAACGATGATAAAAAACACACCTTTTAGCTCTTTTTGGAGTAGGTTCATGTTGATTGTGACTTTTCTCTTAAAACTGTAAAGAAATCCGAAAATATGTAGTACATTCAGAAACAATTGTCGTATCTCACCAGGTCCTCCACGAAGCTCTATCCCGTTGCGTGCCCGTCCTTCCATCATGCAAGCCGAACGACATCGCAGCCGCGGTGTGCGCCCACTGCGCTCGTTGCTTCGCCGTCGCCGCTACATTCGTTGACTGTAGGAAAGTCTGTGCAGACATACCGCAGCTGTGTGGGGATATTGTACCCTTATTGCTAAGACCGGTGAGTATATTTTCGTATACTAAGGACCTCGAATTAGCGGCACAATGGAGTTCTTCATTATTTTGGTTGAATATTATTTTGTCTTTCAAAATAGTAAATACTGAAAACTTTATGCTAATGACAAAAATTCATGGTAGCGATCCGTTTACTTCTTTCATATTTGAAATAAATACTGATAAATATGTATAAATGATTATATATAAATGTATCTTTGACAAAGAGCAACCACTAGAGTTTCTTATTCATCTTTTTCAGAGGAATCTGTTTACGTTTGAGTAGTAGAGTTTATTCATTGTGACGATTTCAAATGTAATTTACTTACCTATTTTAAAAGGGATTATTTGAAAAAATAGCTTACCTTTTTCTACTGAAACTTGCGCTTGCTATGCATTTTTTTTTCAATTTAGTTCTGCCCTCACCGTTCCTCCTTCGTTTAACTTGAAGATACGGAACACTTCATCCTTATGTCGTTGATATACCATCCATTCACACTAAGTAATTTACTTCCTCCTTTCTGATGCGTACGGCAAAGGAATGGAATACTCTATCGGCATCTGTGTTTCCCGAAAAGTACAATTTGGGGCTATTCAAGGCTAGAGTGAATAGGCATTTTTTAGGCATACGTGTATCATCGTCGGTCACATCGTGGCCAAGCGTGTGTCTATTATTTATAAAAACAATGCCGAAATTAACATAAATGTCGGAAACAGGTGTTCCAAATATATAGATACATGTATAGTCAAAGCTACAAGGAGCGACATAGAACAGCTAAAACCACCAAACATTAATTACTTACTATTTAGAATTCCGCATTTCCGGAAATGGTTTTAGTGCATCGTAGAGCAAAACTACTGACCTAGGAAGTCGAAGTTGGATTTTAAGATAATTCTATTTGTGCCACGAAAAAAATGCAGTAGATAACTGACCTTTTATCAAAACAGAGAATAAAAATGTAACGAGAATCTCTCTAGCTTTAGATACCGCATATTGACGGTCACATTGACGAAACGGCGACACTTTGCTAGTAGAACTTAAGAAAAAATAAACTAAAAATTTTATTTACCAAGGGAATTTTAGTACATTTTTAGCATGAGAATCGTGATCGCGCTTTAAAATTATTTTATTTAAAAACAGTATAACAGATGTTCATAAACTAGGGGTCGTATTCCAGAACTCTACTCAATGTTCAAGTCAGGATTTGAGCAGACTTGAGTGTGATTTCAAGCACTGGAAATACGACCCTAATGGCAAGGACTTGAGTATGATTTCTAGTGCTTTGAATCACACTCAAGTCAGGACTTGAGCATTGAGTAGAGTTCTAGAATACGACTCTACAACCACTAGCAGAAATATCGTATTTTAAAAGGAAAATGTTCTCATTGGATTATTTTAATACTTTTTATAAAAAACTGTTGAACGCTTAAACACGACGAAATAGTGCCATTTTTGAAGGAGTTACTCATGTATGGCTATTTATCTTCATAAATATAATAAAGAGAGGAGTTACTTTCATACGGAATTAATTAATATTTGGTGGTTTTAACAACTCCATGTTGCTCCTTGTAGCTATATCTATAATGTATCTATATATGTGGAACACCTTTTTCCGATCATGGATAATAACCCACTGTGGGGCCAGCCGTAACCATTATACCGTGCTTATAGCATTACGTTTGCTATTCATCTAACTAAATATTGATCTAAGTCAAATAATATATTGAGACCTTTAGAAGGAAGGAAGTACTGGGTTCACGTTGTCACGGTTGGATACATTTATTATTATCGGTTTTGGTCTTGAGTTTTGAATAGTGCCTCCGGATTATTGTACCTCTGGTACTCATAGTGTATGAGTTCCGTAAAGTTTTAACGATCTTGTGTAACCGCCTCTGTGGCCGAACGGTTACCATGCTGGACTGCCACGCAGAAGTCCCGGGTTCGATTCCCGGGCCGGGAGAAATATTTGTATGGCCTACATTTGTTTCTCTCACGGGAGTTGGGTGTAATTTGTGGTTGTCTATTTGTGTGTCCATGGCACCCGCCATACAGAGTTTCCTTAGTGCGGGGCTATGAGTGTGTTCGCTTTATTGTGTACGCGTTATTATTGTCTCACACAGTTATTATTTACAATATTCCTGGAATTATGGCCATTTTTGGCACTTTTATGTGTAAAGTGAAATGTATGGATTGCTTTTAATACATGAAAGAATATAATTATAGTACTTTTTTAATGGCAGAATTGTCAAGGAATATCAAATTATTACAAGCGTATGAGCCTCTTTTAATTAGAATTGCAATTCGCGGAAAACCTGTGAAAGTACAGCTTAAAGTTATTTAAATAAGGCTGATTTTCATCGTTTATTCCAATCATTGTCTTGGAGTGTAATTCTGAAATATTTTTAATTATCCAATAGTATATAATTAAATGGAACAGATAAACAATATTAAATTTATTGTAATTAGCACTGTAATCCATATTGAATTACTGCAATATGTAAAACAAACAAATATATAATAATAATAAACTCTCATCTCTGGACTGTATTCGCACTTTCCATCAGGCGCGGGGCAGTCATTTTGCCGAGTCACAATAAAAAAAAAAAAAAATGCTTTTATTAGCCTGTTGCACTTTAATTCATGATTCTGTCTAATTCCTTAGAAATTAGGCGACACGGCATGCGCGGGAGCGGAAGCTGTAGCGGCGCTGGCGGAAGAACCGACTTGCAGATCGCGTTTCGCCCGCGCCGGGGCCATACACGCTTTATTGCCCGCTGTACTGCAATATGATTATACCCTCACTGAATCCGGTGTAGAAAGTGATGTCCAGGCTAATAAACAGGTGAGAATATCGTATAATTTACAATCTATTTAACCCAAAAAACAATATTAACAATATACAACAGATAATATATCTTATCTTGGGGTAATAAAGTTCACTAACTCCAATGCGGTAGGTAGGTAACCAAGACTAATGGAAACGAGTAGTAGTAATTACGGGCAGGTTCGGCTGAAATATTTGCACTTTGATATTGCTGAACGTTGGACTATTCAGTACTGGGGCCTTAGTGTCAGTTTTCAAATATGTAAACTTAACTATCGCGTTTGCGTTAAGATTTTAATTTAAACCTAATTAACACATGATTAAGATCTAAATAAAATCGTAACGCAAACACTAGTTAAGTTTGATGATTACATATTTAGACTAAGGCATCTGAACATCATGTACTCCGATATGGAATTGGGAGATAAAAAATGTAAATAAACACTGTCATTGTTGTAGTAACATCATACAATCAACATAATTTAAAAAAACCACGAGGGGTAAAAAAATCCCTTCCACATTGGCACAGTTTTTAAAACATTTTTTAAAGGCATTGCCTTTGTTTACATTTTTGATCTCAAATTCCATTGCACTGTTAATTGGATGTTGAAATTAAACTCGGTATAGGGAGCTAACGATATACTAATACTTACTACCTAATTTGTTGTTCAAAATGTACAATGTGCGAGGCGTGAATGGTGAAATTACGTAGTGTCGAGGTCGAGAATTCTCTAGAAGACCTGTTTCCTTGACCTGCGCGATCTGTTTTTTGACTCATATCTAGTTGGTACAACAATTTATTATGCATTATCTTTATTGTAACAGGAAGTAGCAAACAATCTAGCGAAACTATGCGTGGTCGCCTTGGGAGCGGTTTATGGGCCGCACGCCGAGCCGTCGCCTGACGACGACCGCATACGAGACGCGTTGCACACGCTGCTCACACCGTACCTCTGCAGCAAATTGAAGGACCCTGACCAGCACGAGGTAAGATAATGTCAACATATCCCGGATTTAATGTATTAAACATTTTGCACAGTATCCACTATTGGACATTTTTTTAAAATTAATTATTATAGTGTCTTTTGGAAAAAAATCGAGTTAAATGACATTTGTAGGGCCACTTATCATATTGCCTCATATTTTATAGATGCCAATTTTATATAGTGATGTAGTAGTTGTTGTCGACAGGTTTATCGATAGATTGTGAAAGGTAAAATTTTGCCAAAAATGTTGGAATTGTAAATGTTACGACGTTCTAATGATTACTAATTGAATTGAATCTTGAATTGAATGGGAATTAAATCTTTATTCTCATTTGGACAGTTGGCCAACTAGCATCGAAATAAATTTTTATTCATATACATTTTAATGTCTCCTCTTTATATTTTTAGTAGACATAGTTCTAAATGCAGTGTATTTATGTATGATACTGCAAAAACCGACAATTACGATGAACCTGTGCCCAGCAGCTGGACGAATAAAGGGCCGATGATTTCCGATGAAATAAGTTCGGCTATTTATTGTATAAGCGTGACCAACATTCGACAGGCAACACTTTTACGTAATGATTTATTTATTTTACTCTATCTTCGAAAAAGACAGACTAACAAATTTATAATGAATTTTAAACAAGCAATAAACGTACCATTAAAACGGTGAATATATAACAAACAATATTCAAAGTCCCCAAATAATAAACATCGGGGAGGTGGAAGGAGGGTCTAATAAATATAAATTATGCAACATGTTGTGGTGTATCCAGTCTTAAGTTGATCTGTGTTTAAAGTTTTCTAAACATATCAAAATTTTTGATGACGTTAATGATGTTGCAGCTAGCCCTATGGCCGCTTAGTGTGTAGGTTGGATTGTATTTTAACCAATTTTACAAAACGTACTTTTGAAATTGATTTTGGTCTCAGTATACTGGGTAGTGCCGCAGTTAATTTAGTTGTTCTACAGCGGATTTTCTAGTTTGATGCCAAATGATCGTTGTCATTGTTCGGTATATAACAATATTGTTTGATAAAAATTTGTAAATGCAAATTTCAGTATTAATCAAACCTTCCGTCAAGTGGCAAGTGAGTGATCGTTTCAGATTGTACTGAGGTTGTCAGAAAATACAAATTTACCAACTGTAGTGTCGACTAACCATAGTGTACTCCCAGCAGAATCCCACCTTCAGAGTTTATGACTGAACTGCTGGGTATTGTAACCCTACTCTTGGTAGCGTAACGTTAATGCAGATATTACAAAACTAATACTTTATGTATGAAGTTTAATAATTACTTTCTTTTTTCAGCTATTGAAAACATTAACTTCCAACTGGCGAACTCCTTACTTAGTCTGGGACAACAGTACTCGAGCAGAACTGAAAGATGTGTTGCGCAACAGTCGTGTCGACCCCGAGAATGAAGGACCTTTGGTTCAACCGTTCGTGTATTCTGCACATAAGGGATTGGTGTCTGTTGGAGGCGTCTATATCGACATTTACAATGAACAGCCCGAGTTCCCCATTGACGTGAGTGATTTAAGATATTTTTTAGTTTCTTAAGGCTCTTTTATGGTTGGTTCAGTGAACGCCGTTCAGTTATTTCCGAAGTATTTTTATGGCGACATTGTTTTATTTATTTTTATCAAATTTCAGATAAAAATAAATAAAGTTAAAAGGAAGTCAGAAGTCTGTACACTGTTAACCTAATGATTATTTATAGGTTTCTGACCATGGTATAACTTTGGTCACGTCAGCGTTTAACCCAGTTTGGTTCATGACGTATAACGGGCTATTCACAGTAGACCGTGCAGGGCGCGAGCCGAGTCACGTACGAGGCTCGGATTGGAAATGCTGCGTATAATTTGTATGAAGTGATTCACATTACAATATGCCGCGTCCGAGTGACAGACGAGTGACGCCCGAACTGCTTCCGAGCTCGTCCGAGTCTCGGGTGCGGCCCGGCCCGCCTCGGCTCGTTGTAATGTGAACACTCTCCAGTGCGTTGTACGCGCCCCGTCCGAATGTGCGACTTTAAAGAAAGAGACTACTTTTTTTTTAATGGGTGAGGAAAAATTAATTGAGTGTGTAAGAAATTACCCAGTGCTTTATAATATGATATAACACTTCGTATGTATTCGAGCGTAAACCGCGTTGACTTAGTCTAATTTAAGTTCGTGCGGCACGTACGAGGTTCGGAAGTCTCGGACACGGCTCGCGCCCGGCACGGTCTAATATGAATATGCAGCATGTCCGAGCCTCGGATGATTCAAACACGGCTCGCGCCCGGGACGGTCTAACGTGAATATGAATATGCAGCACGTCTGAGGCTAGGATGACTCGGACACGGCTCGCGCCCGGCACCGTCTAATGTGAATCATCTTTAATTCTCCGAATATCCAACTACGCGAATGTCATCATACCGTTATAAAATACCGTTATAATTAACGAAGATCGTTTAGTTAATAACCATGAGAAACTCAATATCTTATTGTAGTTTGGATTCAATGCTTTTTGCTCGACATCAAGTGACTAAGTATTTGCAACTGTAGGACTTGCTGCATAGCTAAAACGAATTTCTTATTTTTACATCGTATTACAGAACCCACAACAGTTCATCTTGGAGTTATTGAAATTTGTACACAATCAGACGCAAATGGATATGTCGGCGGACCGAGTCGAGCACATCACACTCGCCCTCACCGCGTTGGCTAACGTCATTATTAAGAATCCGGGTACGTTTTAACATTTTTTCTTTTTGTATAAAATAGACGCATGCTTGGTCAAAATCTCACCCGTTGTAATGCGTTGATCAACGATTCCAGTCCTTTACCTTAACATGCTATTAGCAATTATTTTCTTTTCTTGTCCACTTTTCAATTTCCTCCATTATGTGGAATTATAGATGTCCCCAATGGAAACAACCTAATTCTCAACTAACGTTACTCATTGAAAAAATTACAAAAACTTAACATAGCTTCCAACTATAGTTTATTTTATATGGACTTAATCTGTCGTAATTGCCTATATTGGTAAACTAAGAGTTAGGTTATAGGCATCCATATTTATTCAGAAATCATGATAAAATAAAATGAAAAATAAAAACAAATATTGCGACTGTAGGAAATGAAACTATTTTTGTAATAAGAAATATACGCAATTTAGGTGCGAAAAAATTATTTCCTTTCCTATATTTATTTAACAATAGCGAAAAGCTAAGAACTCGATAGATTTCAAGATTATCTTATTAATTACTTTCATACCGATGTGTGATTTTTCATTTTTCTTCAGAATTTAAAAACGGTTCCAGCTGCTTGTTAACGACCCGGTTAACTGACAAGCCTCACTTAACATATTCAAGGGCAAATATGTTTTCGTTCACACTTTTTTAGTTCATTTGTTTACATTATGAACCTGAAACTACTGATAATCGTTTGATTATATCTAATGTTCACAAAGAGAGTGTGTTTAAATTCGTTGTAGTTCCATAAAGTTAATTTAAATCTTAAAGGTATTTATAGCTTTTAGGCCTTTTCAAAATAAACTGTTGACAGTCGTCCGCGTTCATCACGGTTAATATGAACTGTATTGAAATTACGGGTCATGATGAAATTTCGCCGTTAAAGTAAACCAGTTTCCTGGCGCAATAAAAGCTGAGTAGGTTTACCGTGCACCGCAATTCACGCGTGCTCGTTACGCAGCTGGCCCTTTTGCTTATTTATAACGTACCTGTCCAATTCTATAAAATATCATACGAATATAAGGCAACTGAAAAAAGATGCAAGGAAACAACAATTAAAAATAAGTTGCATACGTGTCAAAAGATACATTATAAAATACTGTGTTGTTATTATCCAACACACGTTAAAGTGGATAATAAAATTAGATCTGTCTATTGGTTAGTTCAGGGACTATGAACCAAGTTTTTTCGGGTTTAGATTATTTATCTGATTGTGGATGTTATTTCTTGATAAGTAGAGTTTAGATTGCACTACAGAACTACGTACGTAATATGCATCAAGAATACAAAAAGCATTATTGCTTAATTATCTAATGCCAAATATTTCTCATTCCACCTGTCTAAAATTGGTATACACTGTATTGTTTCTAGGTGTGGAAATCCAATGCATAGGCCAATTTGGCCTCGTTTTCGGCATGCTATCAGCGCGAGCGTATCCCAAACTGCAAGAAGCTGCATTGCGCAGCGTATTAGCCGCAGCGGGCAGTCGAGAGTGCGTGGAAGACATCGCCGCTAGTACGGTGTTGGGACACCTGCTGCAGCTGTTGGGAGATAGACCGCCGAAGGCAGAGGCGTTGGCGGCTTTAGCGGCCTTGCTTGCTAATACCATGCTCGTCAAAGAGGCTTTGGCCAAAGGTACCAACTATTTATTTAGATATCTATAGAGAATCTGACAATTTTTTGAGAAAGTATTTAAAATTAACCATAATGGGTATATACTGCCAAGAAAAGTATTTCTTTATTTAAATAAAAGCTTTTCAAGTGCCTAAAACTAGATTTAAATGTATTTTTTTTTAAATACCCCGCAAATAGTACTACGTTTCAACTCGGAGCGCATGACGTCTGTGGTTTACCTACCACAAACTAGACATTGTGCACTGTCACTTGCGAGAATTTACGTATTAATTTACTGTTGTCTTTTTTCTGAAATTTGTCCAGTTTTAAAACATCGAGTATATAACCAGAAATAGAGATGAAATGTTATTTAATTTGTTTGAAAACTATTCTGCCAAATCGTTACGGTGACAACTGCGCTCCGATTGGCCAGCCCGAATTCGAAACAATAGATGGGTGTCGTCAATTGTTTCACTTCAAATCGACCAGTTTAACTTGAGCTTTGCTATAATGGACGAAAATTAAAAAAATACATATTTAATATTTAAATACCGACGAAATTTGATTCCGTTTGTTTTGTAATTAGATGTTTTGCTGTTTTTCCCACACCACCGAATGGAACAGCCCCTATAGTTAGACATATTATCTTTATTACAATAAATACAGAATATTTTTGGAATATACGGAGACGTACACACAGGTCAGTTCTTGGCGCTGTACTATTTCACCTTTCTGATTTGTGATTTCAACGCAAACGAGAGTTGATATCTAAAAGTGATATAAGGCCCATTTGCCTGATGAGTTGCCAGGGATGGATGGCCCTTACTTCGTTCCTATTTCTATACTCGATGAATTAAAAAGTGATTATGCAGAGAAAAAGAAGATAATCGTGATCCGTATTCCACGCGAACGTGACGTTTCTTTAGTTACCCACGTAAGACACACGTGTTTAGTGACACACGTGGTGTTTGCATAACTAATTAAAAATATTTAATTTAAGTTTGTTTTCCAGCCGTTATTAAAAAATTAAAATTATGAATAATGAAATATTGATTGAATCATGGTTTTTGTTATGCAAACATTCTTTTTAACTATATTTCAGTTTGTTTTCTTATTGTTGTCCGATTGCCTTATGTCTCGAAATGGTATTTTCGTTTCATGCATACGATTGTTTAAGCGTACCTAGAAAAACTTAAATTACTAGGTTTTCATAATAATAATATACCAGCTAACTACACCAATTAAGGTCTTAAATAAGGAAATACCAAGGCAAAACCAATTTGGTTCATTTCTCAAATTGGTTCCCATCGAGAATTGAACCGAGATCGTCGAGTAGTGTAATGTTGAATAGAGTTTTTGTCTTCCAGGTTCTGTGATATACCTACTAGATTTATTCTGCAATAGTAAAATTCCGGAAACGCGAGAATCAGCCGTCGAATTGTTAGCGAGGATGATGGCGGATAAACTGCATGGACCTAAGGTTAGTTCACCATTTCAGTTAAAAGAAGTCCACTTACTGGGTATAGAACTTCACAGATCACCACAACGACCGGTCTTCCGTTTCTCACGCCTTGTCGAATTATATTTTTGAACAGACACACATTAGCGACTACGAGCTTTTCATAAATTAATATTCGAAACAATTTTTATGGCTAGTCCTTCAGCTCAAAGAAGAGGTATTATTTTCTGTACAAGTACATATTTACATACCCGTTTATTAGCCTCCCTTACCCCTCACCCTTGTGACGATGCGACCTCCTCCATCGTCATCCCACTTTTTTATCACCCTTTCTCTGGTTCCTTTGCTTTGTCATTCTTACTTTATTTCCGTCGTCACTCGCTACCTAATGTCTGAAGCGAGTACTCCTGCTCATCTTCATCACAAATTTTGATCTGTTTTTACTAATTTCCATTTTAAATTATGTGCCTATTTAATACCATTGAAATCCAGTAATATTTGTAAAAGTACGGCCCTTTCCGGGCAAGTTTTACTGTTTCACACCTTTTGGTAGCATTCAAGCATAATTTTCTTTTCGTCTTTTACCTTATACAATAAATTCATGTGGAGTATTTAGTTTGTTCCTTAATACTAATAAAAATATAAAGTAATAGGTACGGTGGCTGTAGTTCCCTGGACGGGTAACTTATCTCAAACTCGATTGTTTTTCCGAAATGACGTTACTTACAATTTTCGTTACACCGAAAACCAAATGATAACGAAACCGTTGTTCTTTCAGGATATGTTGGATGTTTATCGCAAAGACACGACTAGGTTCGGTTAGGTTAGGTTTAAAAGAAAAAAAAAAACATTTTCCTCTCAAAATTACTTTCGATGTTATGAAAATTCGATCAAACGTTATTTCTGGAAAATGTCATTTCGGACTACTGATAGATAACCCCCTCCCTGGACGAACTGCTGCTGTGATTTATGTGATCAGAAATGAATGAGCTGGTTACCCTGACAGGTGCGCCTGACCATCGCACGGTATCTGCCGGGCGTGTTCGCTGAGGCCATGCGCGAGTCGGGCCCCGCGGCAGCCGTGCACATGCTGGACGCCAACCACGAGCACCCCGAGCTCGTCTGGGGCGACGACGCGCGCCGTCGCGTCTGCGCACACGTCGCCGCCCTCCGGGACAGGTGACTGGCCTTTATCCACTGTATTATACTCTCGGACACGTAATTCAAGCCACTAAGCATTTTCAGCATTAAAGAACAATGGCGAATGCCCATATAAGTTTTTGTTGACATTACTTGTATGCGTCTGTTTATGAAAAATATGTGAAAATATAGAGCTTAAATTCTTGAACAAATTTGGTTCCGGGTTTACTATTCTGAGAAGTCTGGAATTAAAGATATTCCGGTTTGAAGTTTTGGAGGTTATATTTTACGGCCTCTAGTATAACTTCAAAAATCGAATGAATTTATGTTATTCAATCTTGTGATTATGACATTTGAAGACGCTAAAGAATTCTTTTAACAATGATTTCGCCATTGTTTTTTTTTTTGAAGCTTTTGATTCATCAAAAACTTATGCAAATTTGATACTGGTATACAAAACGTCATTTTCGTAAGTCTTTGTTGAAAATTGGAATTTGTGAAACGAAGAAAAATTTTATATTTAATAGACACCAGTCAAGCCAACTTCGGGATCCAAATGCCACATTCGAAGACAGAGAAACCCTCGAAAGGATAGCCTCAGGAGAAGAGACGTGGGCACCACCAGGCGAAGTGGTAGTGGCCGGCGTCTATCTGAAACTGTATCTGCAGAATCCGCATTGGAACTTGAGAAGCCCTAAGAAGTTCCTACAAGAATTATTGACTGAGACTTTGGCTGCTCTTAATAAGGATGCTACTGAAGTAAGTACTAAGTATTAGGAATATAAATAGTTTACAGTAAAAGGATATAAATTTTTCTCCTTACAAATTTATAGGAATGACCGCCGCTATTTTGTAAGAGTAAACGTTTCCGTTTTGGGAATGATTTTTTAATATTAAATTCTAAATAAAAGGTGACTAAAGTGGACTTACCTCTATAAGAGTTCTTTTACCGCTAAATCAAGGCAGTGACAGCAAAAGTCATATGCGGCCAACGAGATATAAAACGGGACAAATATAAAGACAAACTTTCAGATGTACGTGACATAGAATTTAATGAAGTCGTCGGTCTGGGAAAAGCAACCGGTCTCCTATAGTGCCATCACCGCACCTTTTATGACAATACTGAAGAAACCCAAATACGTTCCACTACTGATCACAGATTTCATTTGATAATTGCTAAACTTTTCCATCACGCTGGCCAGGAATTTCACATGCGTACCTTTGTATACTTTTTCACTAAACCTCTCAGAATCACTATTAAATCAGTCCCTAAATAAGATTACTGTCAAATCAAAACATTTAAGTTTAAAGTTAGTTTTAAAATTGTAAAATAACGAATTAGGTAACATACAGATAAACAGAATATTCAAATTTTTTTATATATATAATATCAAGTGACGGGACGAACAAGACGTGCGCCTGATGGTAAGCTCACACCTGTCCGTAACAGTTGCTGTGCCACCCAGAGCTTTAAATCGCAACGATCTGAGGGGCACCGCCACTACGCCCGTCATCCTAAGACATATTATGTTGACAAGTCCCATGTGCCTGTAATTTCACGAACACCCTTCAAAACTGGAACGCAAAGTAATGCTGACATTACTGGTTGGCGGCAGAAATAGGTAAAGTGGCAGTACTTCCCACGACAAACTCTTTCACAAGGAGCTCTACGGCTACTGAAAAATATAAATTAACAGATAAATTCAAAATCACCGATACTTACATAGAGGGAAGTTAAGCATTGTAGATAGGATATTTTGCTTCATGGAGACATTATTTTGTTTTTAAAAGTAACTAATACTTCAACCAAAAAAAAAACAGGATAAATTCCTTTGAACCCTTTGACCGCCATGGACGCTTTGAAGCGTCTTATATTAAGTAGGCTGATACGCCAATAACGCCATAAAGCGTCAATGAAATCCTTTACTTTTCAATTGAAATTAATAAATAAATATTAATATTCCTTGTGTTATTTCATGGGTTCATAGTTCCATTTTATGTTCAGTTATGTTCTTCTTTGACTTAGGAGAATGGAATTAATATAAGGTGCAAATTCATAACGTGTGACATCATTATTATAGGCGTCTAGGGAACGAAACTAATTTTTGTCAGTGGCGGTCAGCATATTTATGTTGAGTATTAGGTTAAGTAACATCACTATCTTAAATTGAAGGATATATGAAATAAGAACATTTTTTGAGCATTGTTTTTACATTATGATTACGATCATATTGTAGGTACACGAAGGTTTTTGTTACAACCCTTATAGTGTATTTAATATGATATAGGGTAGCCGAGGGGAAGTGTGCGCCAAGGCGTTGGCAACGTTGCTGCGGTCGCGGCCGCCGCTAGGTGAGATGTGCGCGCAGCTCGGCGAGCTGCCCCGGCTCGCACGGCTGCTCGCCTCCTGCCCGCAGCACGCCGTGCCCGTCCTGGCGGCTATGGCCGATCAACAGGTACGAACTAGAGCAATAACAATATTAATAATAATGAAATATACTGGTTAATTCCAGCCCGCATCGCTAACAACTTGACGAGGCCGGAAAGTAGTCCTGCTTGATACGGCACGTATTGTTCGCCGGTTCTTGAACCTGAGTCGCTAACCGCCGGCCGGTGTGCGGGGAATACCGCCTCTCCCATTTCAAAATTCAAAATCAATATTTTAGGTCATAGCATAGGCGAGACTCTAAAATTGATAATAATAATAATTAAATTCATAATAATAATAAAATTACTAAAGTTTAAAGACACTTTATTTACTTATAAAAAACCCTTAAAAAACACCCTGTCTACAATACCATGCAAAAGGCGGTTATTTTAAATGGTCTTATGGTTTTGCTGAAAATTTGATTAATTGTTTTTTTTTTTTTTTTTTATTGTGACTCGGCAAAATGACTGCACCGCGCCTGATGGAAAGTGCGAATACAGTCCAGAGATGAGAGTAACGGATGGAAAACACAAATATCTTCACTCCGTCACTATCATTTTGCCGGTCTGGCCAAATGCTTCTTCACACTACGTTTGAAGGACCCGATGTTATAGAGGGGAGGGAATACATGCGCCGGGAGTTGGTTCCACAATTTGATGGTTCGGCATAAAAACGAATTGCCAAACTTTTTAGTGCGGGACGGTATTGAACTGACCGTCCAACTGTGGCAACGCAGTCCGGCACGGGTGGTCCGCTGATGGAAAGGAGAGGAAGGGACAAGGTTGAATAACTCTTCAGAGCACTCACCGTGGTACAGACGATAGAATACGCTAAGAGACGCTATATCTCTGCGAAGCTGTAACGACTCCGCATGCTCAGTTACATGAGGATCGTTGACAACACGGAAGGCGTAGCGCTGCAGTCCATCTAGGGCATCGAGCAAGTACTTGGCAGAGCCGTCCCAAAGGTGCGAACAGTACTCCATGCTGCTTCGGACCTGAGCTTTATACAACAGGTATCGCAGCTCTGGAGTAAAAAATCGGTGCACCTTGTTCAGGATGCCAAGCTTGCGCGACGCGGTACAGATGACGCTCTCGATGTAATCTTTGTTGCTCATGTCCTTCCGGATGCTCATCCCCAGTAGACTGAGCCTGTCCTGCAGCGTCAGCGTTGTACCCTGAAGATGGGGAAGTGGAAGGAATGGGGATTTTTTGGAGCTGAACGCGCATACCTGGGTTTTCTTGGCGTTGAACTCAACCAAGTTTCGGGAGCCCCACGACGATATATGCTCCAAAACATGGTTGAGCTCAGCGACAAGTTTTTCCCGGTTTCTCTCAGGGTCCTCCCGGGTGCTTGACGATTGCTTATAATAGCAACCGTGCACTGTGCTATCATCTGCATAGCAATGAATGTTGCCAAAAGGCAACAAGTCATTGATATGCAGAAGGAACAGCGTGGGCGACAGCACTGAGCCCTGTGGCACCCCAGCATTAACTGTCACGAGCCGCGAAGTGCCTCCGTCAACAAGGACACGCAATCTTCGCTCGCGCAGAAAGCCGGAGATCCACTCACAAAGGCGGCCGGGAAGACCATATGCCGGAAGCTTGGAGAGGAGACCACGGTGCCAGACCCGATCAAAGGCCTTAGCAATATCCAGACTTATCGCTAAGGTTTCGCCCTGTTTGTCGATAGCTTCACCCCAGAGATGCATTAGATACGCTAGAACGTCACCCGTTGATCGGTTCGGCCGAAACCCATACTGCCGATCATTAAGAATGGAGTGACGTTCCAGGTGCCGGATTATCTGGATATTTAGAATCCGCTCCATCACTTTGCAGAGCACTGAAGTGACAGCTATTGGGCGATAGTTTGTCGGATCAGACCGATCTCCTTTCTTGGGGATAGGTTGCACGTTGGCCTCCCTCCAAGCTAGGGGCACGTTACCAGATTGGTATGAGAGGCGGTATAAGCGCGTCAGTACGGGAGACAACTCCGCCGCACACCTTTTAAGGACGATAGGAGGTATCCCATCCGGACCATAGGCTTTCCGCACGTCAAGAGTCTGCAATTCCTTGCGGACATCACATTGTCTGATAACTATATCAGGCATTGTGACTCCGCAGTGGGGAATTGACGGCGGTTGCGCATCTTGGTCGTGAATGCGCGAGTTAGCCCCAAAAAGGTCGGCCAATAAATTGGCTTTCTCTTCGGGGCCATAGGCCAAAAATCCATCGGGATACCTCAAAGGCGGCAGCGACGAACGACAAAAATTGTACTGCACGGCTTTGGCCAGGCTCCAGTAGGCACGGCTACCGGTGGGATGGGCTACCAGCTTCTGGCCAATCCGTGAAACGCGCTGGGCATCCGCTCTTATGTAAGCCCTCCTGCAAGACTTGGTTGCTTTCTTATAGGCTGCTTTAAGGGACGCAAGGTTGGGATCCTTTGTTACACGACCCCTGATCCAACCACGATATGCAGCCTGTTTCTCACTAACAGCGTCCATGCATTCGCGATTGAACCAAGGGCGTCCTCTGCGATTGGCGATGACACTGGAAGACGGTATGTAGTAATCCATAGCCGTTCCAATCTCATCGACAACAGCATCGGCAGCTGCTGAGGCATCCTTTCCCGCAAAGCAGTGCTGCAACCAAGGGATGGACGCAAAGTAGTCGCGCATACCATCCCAATCCGCCGACGAGTAGTGCCAAATGCGACGAGTGACCTCCTTCAGCTTAGTTGGAGGCATTTGGGAAACCTTACACCCAACCAAACAGTGATCAGAACTTCCCAGGGGGGCGCTGACTGATACTGTATAGTAGGTAGGGTGACTCGCGAGCAGAAGGTCAAGCAAAGAGGGTGCATGATCCGATATGTCTGGAACCCGGGTGGGCTGGGTTACCAGTTGGGTCAAGTCATGCGTGAGAGCGAAAGCGTGGGCAGTTCTTCCTGCATGGTCAGTCTTGAGGGAACTTAACCATGATTCATGGTGAGCATTAAAGTCCCCCAACACGACCATCTCCGCAGATGGGAACTGCGCCTGCGCGTCAAGAGTCGCCTGGCTCAGTTGGTCAAAGAGCCTAGTTGTCTCCGCATCCCCACTGTGGGATCTATATAAGCACGCGAAGACTCTAGCTGAACAACTAGATTCTACGAGCACCCACATAGTGGAAAAGGAGGGGTCCTCCAGGCAGCGCAGACGGCGACAGCACACATCCGAACGAATATATACACATACCCCGGCTTTGGCCTGAAAGTTTTCCTCAAGCGACTAGCCGGGGTAGTTCAAGTAACTCATATCATTCGGACGGCGGATCTGCGTCTCCGTCAGGAAAAGCAGGGCAGGCCGGGCTGTCTCGAGGTGATGGCGGACAGCTTTGAGGTTGGAGTGGAGTCCGCGGATGTTACTCAATAATAAACGCGGTGGGGGGATTAGGCACCGCTGAACGATCTGCATTCTTATGTTGCGCTGTCATGGTGGGTAAGAAGGACGGTAGTGTGAAGAGGTGAAGCCTTCGGCACCGCACCGAAGAAGAAAAACGAGGGGAACTGCAATACATGCCATTGATCTTTTGAAGGATAGCCGGCTGACCCGCCGAACGGAAGGGCCCCCGTACCCCCCCGGGATATGCCGCCGGGACCCCATATTCCGGTCACTAACCGGCACGACGACCTACCCCAAGATTATGCGCGGCATGGTGGGGCAGCCTCTAGGGGTAGTTAGTCCCTATTGGGCCCCTGTACTGTACCGCGGGCGGCCAGCGGACAACCGTTTCTACGGGTCTCCCTGGGCGGCAGGTCAACTAGATATCCCCCAACAAGTGACATGGCGAATATCCGCCTCAGTCCTCCCAGATACCGCGCCGAAAACTCCACGTGCACTGGATGTACACCAACTGATCCCTGAACGCGATTCGCAAAAGCGTTTCACTGTGGAGGGTTTTCCGCCGTGTGTACTGTGGTCGCTATCCAGTCGGCACAAAGCCTACCACAACGCTAAGCAGATGGACACTTGTGACGCCCTCGGTCGCCTCTTACGACCCCCACGGGCATGTATGGGGAGGCGACAATGTATTCTTAAGCCGTCGCCCCACGGCTTACGTGTATGTTGTAGCAGCAATTTGATTTTGTGGATTAATTTATAATGTTATATAAATTGTTATATACCTACTTATCATATTCTATCTGTATCTATTTCTGTCCTTTTGAGAGGCAATTTTTATATGTACATCGCATTATGTCTGGGACCCCATGATTCAGGCTTGCCTAATGTGGAGACCGTGATAAATATGAAAATGTAAACATTTTCCGTCAAAGAAGTTTTATTTATAACTCATCACACTTGCGCGTAAATAGTATTATGATTGCATGCAGGCCAACTTGACTATAATGCCTCACATAAAACCCTAATTATGTATGTTTCATGGGCGGTACTGGAATTACGAACCTCGACTCCGAAAGCTCTCAATCTTCGGCTTCGAGCTTCTAATAGAGCCTCGTTCGTAATTTCTTATTTAGCGCCCTTAATACACAATATACTATTAATACATGCTATGTATGCATAGGCTCTTATTACAATACTCCCTAGACACATAGACACACACTAATATACTGCATTTACTTGATTTCGGTACGGTGTGAGGTGCGCTTAAATCATAAACTGTTAAGTTCATAGTATTCACATTGATTGTTGGTTGCGTTTACTTTTTAAAAACATAACAAACCTCCTTCTCGCTGATAGTAGAAGGCAAACGGAATTTCTGTAAAGGCACAAATATCACTACGAAATTCCAAGCTCTCGCTAATAAAAAAACGTGTTTGACCGTAACTGTAAGTTGTTAAAAATAACAGTGGTGTTATATAGGAATAGCATTTAAAGTATAAAACTCTGTATTTCTCAGGCGTGTATAATAGCGTTGACGCAGACGGACGTGATGTCCGGTATGAAGACTGCAGTGAAGACGTGTCGAGATATCGTCGGTTGCGCGTGTGAGGCGCTCGCTTCCATATTCAACAGCAATGTTAATACCGATCGATTGGTCTTACAGGTCAGTGTAATGCATAGTGTCTACGGTACAAAGTCAATGAAGACATTATTTTGCTTAGGAATAATCCATTTTAAATAAAATAAGAAAAAACCCACTTATTAAATAAAATATACTTGCCATACGAATTGAACAAGAAGTGTACAGACGAGAAGGATCAATAAATAAAATAGCAGATTGTTGAACGAGGGAATAAAACATTCCATTTAACGTGAGATGTTTTGGTGAAATTACAGGCATATCGACTGTGAACTGGCAATCGGTACTATCTCAATTTTGACAAATTAACAGGATGACGAAAAAAAATGTTCGCGTCATTCATACAGCATATGGTTTATTAAATAAAAATACGTAATTTTTAGATATTTTTATTACACATGAATGCATGTACACTACGTATTTTTATTTAATGAACCAGATGCTATATAAATGATTTTTTCTTCATCCTGTAAAATTGACAAAATTGAGATAGTACCGGTTGCCAGTTCACAGTCGATATGGTACTTGTCAATTTAAGTTTCATGGTGACGGGCGTTGTGGCAGTACCCGTAAGATCTATGCGATTTAAAGCTCTACACTGTGTGGCACTGTCATCGTTAGGCGTGTCGCTTACCACCAGGCGCACGACTACTTTGTATTAAACAAAATATCACTGCACGATCTTCTTTTGATATTATTATTTATGCAAAGTTCGAAACTTACTTCGTAAGTTTATCGCAGGCGCTACGACAAGAAAGCCATTTAAAACCAACAAAGATCTGCAATAAGAATATGGAGAAATTCGTTAGGTCTACTGACTCGATCTGTAGCTGAGTTGGTAAAAGTGGTAACCCCAGTTTGGTAAACAGACGCTGGTGCCAGTGCAGTCAGATTAAAAGATTTCCTTTGTGTTTGTTTGATGTTTGTATCAATAATAATAACAAACTAGTAAATGATGAACATCATGGTAGTAAAAACATCATGAAATTCATTAAATAAACACATAAACACATAAACAAATAAACACTCTTCTTTTGATTCTAACTACGAGGAAATGAAACATACAAAAAACGAAAAACATCAAGGATTATTTCGTCGTTGCGTCATTTTTTAACCGACTTCATAAAAGGAGGAGGTTCTCAATTCGACGGTTTTTTTAATGTATGTTACGCGATAACTCCGACGTTTGTTAACCGATTTTGATGTTTCTTGTGATGTGTAATGATCTTTGATGACTCTGAAGGGTGGCAAACTAGGGGATGAATCCGGGAAAAAGTGAAACGTTTTTCTGGCAACCGATTTCAATAAAACTCGGCAAATAGATATTATTCCACGAACTTTTGAGGTCGGTTTTTAAGCACTTTCTTCTAAGATTACTTAAATTCATTTTACGTGTACAGAACACAGATGCAAATTAATTAAAAATAATACTAATTAATCTGACCGTATTAGAACATATTCGACCCCTGCGACGTAAAGTATCGTATGTCGAAATTGCCAAGTTTACAGAGGAGCCTTTTAAATATTCTGAATTCACTGAAATAAGCACAACACGTGACTTTAGCATTTCTCAGTTTTTTTTCGACAAAGCTCGTTACTCACATAGAGTATCATAAAATCCTAGATATCGGTTAGATGTTGTATTAGATGATCACTCTATTTGAGTAACGAGCTTTGCCGAATAAAACGGAGAACTTTAAAACGCTTCCCTGTAAACTTGGCAATTTCGACATACGCTACTTTACGTAGGTCGATTATGTTTAGAAACCAGACGACAGCCGCAGAACTTCAAGGGTGATATTATAGAAAGGAAACAACAATTTTTCTTTTTAAACATTATAAACGTAATTACAGTGGTGTTTTTTTTTAAAGCTAAATGCCTGAACGTCTTGTTAGATGTCTAAGTCTATAATCTTGTATTAAATAGATGGTTTTATTTAATTTTTGACTGCTACAAAGTATAGAATGTCATTTTTGAAGATGGAGTAAAATGACAGTTCATTGCGCAAAAGTGTTGCCCGCTTGCCAGCAGCTAGTGATTGCAGGCGATAAATATTCTATCGACTATCGACTGAATGTTGGTTACGCTAAGCAATAAATATCTAAATTTGTTTCATTGGAATCTTTATTTGCACATTATTCGTCCAACTGCTGGACACAGGTTCATTTGAATACATATACACTACATTTAGAACCATGTCTATTAAAAAATCAAAGAAGAGACATATTTCAAAGTTTTTCATTTAATTCAAAATAGATAATCAAATCCACCTGTTTTTACCAAAATGTATGTGAATAAAATTAAAAATTGACTCCGATAACAGTAGGCCAACTGTCAAAATAAGAATAAAGAAAGCAATAACACAATTCATAATAATTCGAACGTAGTAACATTCACAAGTCAGACATTATTGGCAAAATTTTACCTTCTTTCACAATCTGTCGATAAAGCTGTCGACAACAAGTACGTGACTAAATTTTATGAAAACTGGCAACCCTGCAAATGTCATTTTACTCCGTCTTCAAAAACGACTGGTTGATTAACACGGTGACTTATTTATTCCAGGCTTTAGAAACAGATCTAATAGGCGAACTGCTGTCTCTTCTGGAAACCAGACTAGACGGACAAGCGGCCGCTCAACTAGTAAACGCTTTAAAAGCGATGGCGCGATCGACGTTGCACGGGGAGAGAGTCCGAGCTGTGCTGGCCCGTAGTCGTGTGTGGGAACAGTACGCGGCGCAACGGCATGACTTATTCATTTCTTCTGTACCCGACCATCATTCCATTGCAGGTAATTGACAAGTTTCTTAGATAATTAAATGCACTCCACCCGTGCAGCATTATCGTGTTAAACCAAAACACTGTGACGATGTCCTTCATCGTCATTCCACCTTTTTATCACCCGGTTCCTGGCCACTTTTAAAATTATTAATCGTTCTTGAATTCCTTTTTCTTCTACTATTCTTACGTTTGTTCGTTCCGTCATCATTCCTATCAAAATTCTCAAAGCGAGAGGTGCTCATGGAGTATCATTAACCCTTCAGCCAACGGAATTTCAACTGTCAATTAATGACGGTTCATATTTCACATCCCGCGCACCTCGCGCCGTAATTGATTTAGGTCGCTCTTCAGATAAATGCTCCTCAAATAATAACTACACCACTTAGCCTAGTTCTGTAAAAGGTATTGGCTTTCTAAATAATTTATCTATAAGAATGTGTAATGCAGTGAAGCTAATATCAACAGCAGCCTTTTTCAATCATTTTTAGCTCAATTTGTACAGAAATCCCATGAAAATGCCAAAAATTATGTTGCCGGTATTTGAGCTTGATAGCAATAAAACTACTACGAATTTAACAAAACCAATTATGTAAATAGCTTTATCATTCCTTAAATAACACAAAATATAGTAGTTATTACATAAAATAATGCATTTGCCTTGATAAAATAAAGATTTCACAACGCACTGTTACCACAATGTTACTTCTCGCGAACGAAGTTTTACCACAGATTCGAACAGCTTTTTCTCCGTATTTTTTAAATGAACGAATGTTTTTTGGCTATGCAATGAACGAAACAGTTACTATACTTGTCTATTATCAAAAGTTGTTCAAACAAACGTAGACTCTATCTTTATTGAAAACCGGTTTATAATCGTCTGGGCGAGCGAACCCACCGGTGGCTTCGCGCGTCTGAGGACTTTTTCTTTCAAAATGGCGTGAACCCACCGGTGGTTTCCTGCCGGCTTAGAGGTTAAACCTCTAATTTCACGTGATTTACTTTTCCATGGGTTGTAAGAATATCTAATTGATCGATGAATTTGTTTCACAGCGGCGCCGCACTCAGCGGGCTACCTAACGGCGCCGCCGCAGAACATTCCTGCGCAGCCGCCGCCCATCGACTGACCGCATCTCGCTAGCTAGTGCCCGCAGTGGGTGTGAACACGCATGTTTGAGGCTAATATCGTACGTGGGAACCATATAGACATTTAAAGATTATTCGGAAGGTATTGTGTAAATCGTAACAGCAATATTAATTCAAGGTCCTTCGAAATAGGGATCCACCGGACTAGTCCACGCGTCACTGGGTTAAGCGAAGCATCATAAACTTTATGTGTGTGGTAATAAGGAAGTAAAAACATAATTCGCATCGCCTAGTCACCGGTCTACGATGACACGGTGTTTCGTAGTTGGTTTACTGCCTTAAGCTTTCCACGGTGACTGGTTTGGTGTGACCTTATGAGGTTGGACCATCTGTTACCTTAGACTACATAGACTTTATTACGTGGTGAATACGAAGTGCTTGTTACAATACTAATCGGCCGTTGCTGAATAGTTTTGTGACGTGCTACGATGTTAGTTACAGTACGTAAAGGCTTGCCTTGCTTCGTGTTGATATACAAGAGTATTCTTTACACCATTTGTGATGCAAGAGCATCACAAATGGTGTAAAGCATCAAAATTTCTCCGTCCAATAGTTAAAAGTTGTTTTTTATGAATAGTCTTAAAGCGTGAAACACACAGAGAGCGGGTGCGGGTCCATATAAATAAACCGAATTAGACCCGTCGCACTTGCGATCCGAAGCGCGCCCGACCCGCGCCCGTCTCGCCCCCGACTCGCGCCCGACCCGCACCCGACCCGCACCCGCTCTCAGTGTGTCTCACGTTTAAATATTTTTAAAAGGGGGAAAATTTAAAACAAAAGCAACTGTTACCGGTCAAGGGCGTGTCAAGTTTAACTTTTTGGACTTTTGGACCGTTCTAATAAATGGCATGGGTCTGAGTTTATAGCTTTAGTGTCGATCGTGATGTTCACTTGGTCGTTTATAGGTATTCGCAAGAAGGAATTACCGATCGAGTTCTCCGTATAAATAAATATTAGACAACATCACATACGTTGCTCTGATCCCAAAGTAAGGAAGTAAGGCCCTAGTTATGGGAATCGGAAACAACGACAGCAAAAATTTTTACTTGCAAATTTTCAAAACTGATACCAAGAAACCGCGCTATTTTGATTTGAACTTTCCTTCTTTGAAAACATTCCTTTTTACTAATACCATTTAAGGCATAAAGCTTGCTGTTTATCGAAAGAATGTAAAGAATCTTTTTCGTTTTCGGTAGTTTTCCAACAGATTGTGATCTGTTTGTATCAAATATTATTAACAGTAAGCAAGGCAACCCTAAAGTCTGTACTTATGTATAATGCCATTAAGCCGCATCAACATAATGAAGGTAGTTAAGATGTCATTTTATTGTATTAATATAAACTTTACTAAGTTAACATAAGATATGGAACTACTCTATCAATGTGATATTATTGTTTGCACCATTGTAGCGTTTACAATGTGGTGTAAGTTTTGTAATGCGTTTGGGTACTTCCAGGTTAGTTTTCTTTATCTCATTTCGGTGGCAATTTTTGTTATTTAAGTCTTCGAGTAATTTATCGTAAAATATTAAATAATACTTTTACGTCACCGAAATTAGGTAGAGAAAACTAACCTGAAAATTACCCGTTTAAAACAAACCATGACTAGATATTAATGTCATTAAGTTTTATCAACTATTATCTATATAATAGGAGTTTCATTTGCCGCAGGATTGCCTTTACAAGCGTCGTCAACTAAACGCTAAAAGTAATTGATTTTTAACGGTAAATGAAATAATATAATAATTATCAACTGTTGCTCGGAATGGGTTTCAGTCGAATTCCAATCGCGAAATCAGAGAGTTAACCGGTTGTTAACAATACGCCTGTGAACTGGCAATCGGTAATATCTGAATTTTGACAACTTTACAGAATGAAGGAAAAATCGTTTGCGTCATTTATGTAGCATCTGGTTTATTAAATAAAAATACGTAGCTTACAAATACTTTTATTACACACGTAAGTATGCACACTACGTATTTTTATTTAATAAACCACGTGCTATATAGATATTTTTTCTTCATCCGATAAAGTTGTCAAAAATGAGATGATACCGGTTGCCAATTTACAGTCGAATACCTGCCTCTTTGGTCGCCACGTGATCATTATGCATGCAACTGTGTCGAAATATTGGGCTATTGAACCGAAACAACTAACATTATATGTATATAATACGGCTTTCAGTTTTTTCCGCATCCCGAGAAAATCGAAATCGAAACTCAAAAATCCCAGAAAAACAAGACTAGATAGAGAGACTGCGCTTCTAATTATTGTATGAAAATTAGTAGTGGCGCTTCTATAAGCGTCTAATTTGAAGATGCCCTTATAATTACTTTCTTTATACTTTCTTCCATAAATGTCAGCATTTTTGGAGCTGAAAAATTTAGCTTAGCTCATAAAAGAATAGTATTCGATACCATTATTAATTCTAATTGATATTGACCGAAAAATACCCTATAGGAAATAACAAGTATCTTATTTCAAAATACTATTAAAAACATATTGTATTATCAGCCAAAGTTACATTCTAATTTATTAAGGTAGTCCGTTGTTTTACAGTTTTGATGTGTTATTGAACATTTAATTTTATTTTGTGTGTTAATGTCGCCGTCGTGTCGATATTACGACCGCGAATTTTCTGTCTCAAAGATGACAATGCAAAGTGCGATTTAGACTGTTTCTACACGGTCTGAAAGATTGCCCCGAGGTATTGGTATTCTATCTCTCCGACTCAGTGCTGCCATTTAAACAAATATTTCTACTAATTATCTGTCAAAAGTTACCACTTAAAGTACTGTTTCTACTAATTACCTGCCAAAAGTAGTAGAAATAGTTCAAATGGCAACACTGGGCCGGAAAGACAGAGAAATCTGCCGTCCGCTAACTAAAACTAAACAGTGACAAAATATTTTTTTCAGATTTCATAAAAAACCATAACCCTGTTTAAGAATATTGAAATTGATTAATGATATTTCAGCTATGCATCATTAGGGTAAGTTCCGATAAGTCGAACACATTAACTAATTTTAATTGTTTTTAAAAGAGAATTTTGTGAATTATTTTTTGCTATTTAAAACGGTTATTTGACGATTTGTCACTTAACCGTGTTTTAGTTAGTGGACGACAGAAATCAATGCTATCCTGCTGGTTCTCGCCGTTCACGGTTAGCCTACAGGTCTTCGAGCCGCAAACTTTATAACCACCTGTAAACAGGTGCAGCCAACGTCAAGAACCTTAACTAGTTGTCATCATGGAATCGCTTTTGTTTGGGCAGATATTTAATTTTACATCTCAAAGATTTCTTAATGTTTATGTCGATTCAATGCGTTTTCTTGATGACGAATGTGTGCTGACTCTTAACACAGACTGTTAGAAGTTTGATTTTATTTTACTAGGAAAGTATGGGAAAATTCAAAATCATAGGTGATATAGGGAAATTGTCTTAGGAAGTTAAGTCTTTTTTTGTGAAAACAAATTCGACATAATCAGTTTTTTGATCAAGCATGAATTGGCACACTCACACTTGCACAAATGTTTACGTTTTAAAATTTGTTTTCACAAAAATGACCTGTTATCACTTATGGTTTCGGATTTCCTTATACTGTCCCAGTTAAAAAATCACACTGTAAATGAAGTCAGTGAAATAAAGTTTCACTAGATGCCGTCAGTGAAATGAAGTTGCACTGACTGCATCCACAGTGTACCTTTGGTTTGCAGTGAGTATAACGGTCGGGTTGCATTCCATCTGTGTACACCGTTAGTTTTTTCTGACCGTTGTCTACTTTGGAGGTATTATAGGAAGTATGTTTGTTGAGAGGTTTAAAACATGCGTATCATAGTTATGCATAAAATCATGATCTCTTTCATCATTTCTTTTAATTTCATAGCAAAATTAGTTTTGTATAATGATATAAGAACGGTAGAATTCGCACTTTTGTAAGAATGTAGATTACAGATAAAGTAGAACGGAAAAAAGCTCAAGAATTTTAATTGATACTTAATACGAACAAAACAATTTTCTCCCCCTATATAATAACTTCTCTCTTTCTTGGAAAAAAATAAGGCGTATTTACATGAATGATAATCATGTCAAACCCAAGATCACTAATATTGCTGCCAAATGGATAAAAGTTACGTTGGTTCCACTATTATTAACAAAAATAGGACTAAAAATTAATTTGCTCTGTAACCGTATCAGCCGTTAAAGAGCACACGTAAATTTAAAAAATCGAAGATTAAAAAAACACTGAGGCTCTTTAATTGTTTGGCCTTCTTAAATTTTCTACGATGCTGACACGTGGACTCTACAAAACCTGACAAAAACAAATTAGAAATGTAGTGTCGACGACAGCTTGGCAGAAAATCGAGCTGGACTGGACATTTACAGTCAATATGATTTCAATAATCAAACCAAACTAAATTATCTACATATCAAAAGTGGTCAATTTTATCTACACGTTCGGAGTCATAATATAAATCAACTTTTGGGGTGGTCAATTTAAAAGCACATAAGATTGCAAACTGAAAACAATTGAAGAGTTGTAGCTAGTGACATAAGGTTGATTGTTAATGTGCAAATATTTTCAGCAATGATTATTATTATTTTTTAATACTTTGGTTTAGATAAACTTGATTGTACGATGTGTAGAATAGCTTATTTTCACAAGTCGTCGCCAATACATTGGCACACACCTCCATACGGTAGAAACTTCGAATTAAACAAATGCTTTCGCATATAGTTCAGCTACCCGCCACCGGTAAATATAATTCTTTTCCACATCCAGTGACCTATGTCGAAATGAACGCAAGCGGTCACGTGTTTCGTCTATGGCTTGATCTCATCAAAAAGACTATGGAGTCGTAGAACAAAAAAATTCTGTATTTGATGTCCAGAATAAGTCCAGTAAGTTTTGGCATTACAGAATTTGGGTTCAACTTTTTGAATGGATACAAATAATTCGTTAATTACATGCATTTTCACGGTTTTCAAACGCTTAAACTTAGTAAAAAATATGTTATTTCAGATGTATTTTTCTCTAAATGCAAGGCCATTTAACCTCGTATTAATATGAAACTCCCAAGTCCGCTATTAAGTGTGTATAGGCTGTGATGGCACTCAGATTACAGAAGTAGTTTTGTCGATGTGTGTGGTACAGGATAGTTTTATATATCTGAAATCAGTTCAGTTTACATCAATGGTAACTTAATTGATTAAGCGTCATTTGAGTTGTCAAAATTTCCGCTTATTAATAAAGCCATTCGGATATCACCGGTCAAATTTTGAGTAATAAACGCGTGTCTTCCGTAACGTCGACGTTGGCGGAATCGTCGACTGTATCGAGAAAAAAAAACAAGCTAAGGAGCAGTAGCTAAGTGCAAAGTTTGTTTTTAAGCTCTAATAAAGAATAGAGGATTCGCTCTGGGTATTTTGGAGGGAAAAGTGTCGTTTTTATTTTGACT